TTCTTTGCACAAGCATTATTTAAAAAATAAATATCATATTGGAAGATAATTGAAATTATAAGCAATGTAGATTTATGATTTTTTTTTTGCTTCACTTCCTGACTTTTCACTGGTATCTATCACCGTTAGAATTTTTAGTCATATTCCTTAAATATTTTTAACAACCAACGTGTCAATTTTAACTGTTTGTAGTTGCAAAAATATCATTTTCGGAAATAGTTTTTAAAATAATAAAGGGAAATAATTCGAAATAATTCGTAACGATAGTAATGCGGAATTATAATGACACATTACTTCAATTGGGAATGTGTGAAGTTTGAATGATTATTTTTGAAAGTTTAGAAGATATACTCAGCACAAGCATTATTAAATATTTTGAAGTATCATAAAGGTTGATAAATCAAGATAAAATTATAATCATTTACCGTTCTTTTTACTGGCATCTATCATTGTATGAAGTTTTAAAAAAAATTTCAATAGTTTCCAAGTAATTTTTTGGGCAAACATATTAAGAATTATAAAGGTAGATAATTAAAAAACTAATCAAAATACACTACAAAAATGTGTTTTTACCATGTTAAACATATTCCGACTGTCTGAAGATCTCGTAAGAACAAGATACTAAGTTATGCATATCCAATACTTAAAATCTCATGTTCGCTAAGCTCGTTGTTTTCAGTACTGCATGAAAGGAGTAAACTGAAGTCGTGGTAAGGACGCACTTGGACTTGGTAGGTCGGGCAAAGTCGAGGTGAGGACATAGATGTAAAAACAAGATTGCATTTGAGAAAACTGCTATGCCACCGCGTTAATACAACACTAAATAGTAGTGTAGGAACAGATTTTTTTTTGTTTCTATACAATTGAAGATTGTCATTATGCATAGATCCCTGCCCTATCTAATTCTTATTATCAGATTAGTGGATAAATCTATTGTTAATCCAATAAAAGATCAGAGTAGGAATATATCAATGCACTTGAGTCTAGTGAATTTGGTGGTGAAGGTCATATTTCACACAGCCTAAATTTCATGATTACATCAAAGGACAACACAGTAAGACACTGTGTCAAAATCTAGGTCAGCAGATATCAAAGTTCACTTTACAATTCTTAATCTGTGCACATGGTTCAAATTTCATAGCTGTACATCAAAGGCAAGAAAGTAGGTCACGTCATCAAAATCTAGGTCACCTGATATCAAAGTTCAATTTTACAACTAAAACTGTGCACATAGTCAAAATTTGATTGCTGTACATCAAAGGACAAGAAAGTAGGTCACTGTCCCCTTGGGCAAGGCAAAATTTTGACCCAAGGATTTAATTCAAAACAATCTTGATACAGGTCCACCAAACAATATTTCAAGTCAAATATCTAAGCTGTAGCTTTCTCCCATTCAGGAAACAATTGTTTTATTTTCTGTTTTTACTATGTGTACATAATGAGAATCAATGCCCCCGGGCAGGGCCAATTTTGACACCAGGGGAAAAATTTGAACAACTTTGGTAGAGGACCTATAGATGATATTATATAACAAACATCAAAGCTCTATGCCTTGTACCTTCAGACAAAATTTTTTTTTATCTTTTTACTATATGTACATAATGAAAATCAATGACCCCCAGGGCGGAACCAATTTTGACCCCAGGGCTATAATTTGAACAATCTTGGTAGAGGTTCACTTCGCAAAGTCTCATGCCATATATTTAACCTCTAGCCTTCGTCAGTTCAGAGAAGAAGATTTTGCAAGTTTTTACTTTATACATATAAGGAAAACTATCGCCTCTGGGGCAGGGCAATTTTAACACTAGGAGCATAATTAAAACAACTTTAGTAGAGGACCCATATATGATATTATATACCAAATATCAAAGCTCTAAGCCTTGTACCTTCAGACAAGAAGATTTTTCAATGTTTACTATATGTACATAGTGAAAATCAAAGACCCCTGGGGGTGGGGCCAATTTTGACCCCAGGGCTATAATTTGTACAATCATGCTTGAGGTTCACTACACAATGTTTTATGCAAAATATCTTAACTCTAGCCTTTGTAAATTTAGAGAAGATGACTTTTTACTATATATATATAAGTATAACCTATGGCCCCCGGGGCGCGGCTAATTTTGACACTAGAGGCAAAATTTGAACAACTTTGATAGAGTACCTGTAGATGATATCATTTAACAAATATTAAAGCTCTAAGCCTTGTACCTTCAGACAATGAGATTTTTTTTTTTACTATATGTATATATTGAAAATCATTGACCCCCGGGGCTGGGGCAATTTTGACCCAATGGCTATAATTTGAACAACCTTGCTAGAGGTTCACTACACAATGTTTTATGCAAAGTATCTAACCTCTAGCATTTGTCAATTGCTAGAAGAAAATTTTTTTAAGTTTTTACTATAAGTTTTTACTATAAACATATAAGGAAAATCAAAACCCCTGGGGCGGGGCCGATTTTGACCCCAGGGCTATAATTTGAACAATCTGGGTAGAGGTCTTACACACAATGCCAAATGCAAAATATCTAAGCTCAAGGCCTTTTGGGTCTTTCCAAGAGGGTATTTTAAGTTTTTACTATATGTACATATAGTGAAAATCAATGACCCCAGGGGCGGGGCCGATTTTGACCCCAGGGCTATAATTTGAACAATCTTGGAAAGAGTCTACAAGACAATGCCTTATGCAAAATATCTAAGCTCTAGGCCTTTTGGGTCTTTACAAGAAGGTATTTTAAGTTTTTACTATATGTACATATAGTGAAAATCAATGACCCCCGGGGTGGGGCCGATTTTGACCCCTGGGCTATAATTTGAACAAACTTGGTAGAGGTCTACCAGAAAATGCCCTATGCAAAATATCTAAGCTCTATGCCTTTTGGGTCTTTACAAGAAGATTTTTTTAATTTATTCTTATAATTCCTTTTGGTTGCCATGGCAACCAGATTTCTGCATGGAATGAAATATTTTGAACAACTTTAGAAGCCCTTCACCCAAAGATCAATCTTGCCAAGTTTGGTTGAAATTGGACTTTTCCAGATGCTGCGATGGCATAAAAATCCACGTCCTAGCCCGTCCTGATTGCGGAATCTCATTTCTGAAGAGTATTCATATTCAGCGAGGACACAGAGTTTCGATAGGGCGTGGGTTCAAATCCAAGAAAAGACAAGAGTTTGTAAAACAGAAATATAAAATCATGAAATTTGATACTTATAAAAATGTCAAAAATTTATCTTCAGCATGGCAATAAATCTTATCAAAACCTTAAAACATACATGCCCCGACTACCCATCTTTTATACAAAATTCCATGAGTCAAGGGCTATAACTATGACAGCACTAATTAAATCTATAAGTGAAATCCCAGATGCACAACAACATATGCTGACCAGCATTGTTTGTAAGGTTTCTTGACTCTTCTTTAAACACCTTTTAGCTCGTCAGCCACACAAGGGAAAATTTTAAATAATAACTTAGTAAAAGACACAACAAATCTGACATTACTGTGCAAATCCACACGAAAACCTCACGTGCACAACAATATACATTATAAGCATACAAACATTGATATAAAAGTTAATGACGCTAGCTATAATTGTTTCTTAAACAACATGCATGACATGTTGAAAATTGCTGATTTCGAGTAAGTAGAGGGCAACAGCTTTGGCATAAATGCGGGAAATTGACAAACGAAACCCAATGTACACAACTTCATATCTTGTGTAATACCCACGTAAAGTTTCAATACCTTAACTCAACTACTGTTTGGCTACATGCGACAAATGTATTAATTGAAAATTTGTACTTAGTGAAGGCATTACTGCGGTAATGGACAAGCTTAACCTCAGGAGAACATACATTCATGTAAGTTTCATGACAATGCCCCTAGTTCAAATACTGTTGAAGCTACACGCGACATAAGTTGACAATTTCCGATTTGACTAAGTCAAGGGCAATACCTCTAGCATGACTGTTCAAATCGACAAGCGAAACCCAATGTGCAAAATAACATAACGCTGACCAACGTTAATGTAAAATTTAAAGACACTTAATTATTTATAGGACGAAGAGACGCATATAGACAGGCACAGGCGCATGGAAAAGTAAAAAGTTAAAATACTCATCCCCCTCGATATTTTATCTTCAAGTCAATAAATATTAATGTCGAAAATATTTATCACATATTTTCGACAAAGCCAGTCGCTGTGTATGGACACAGAAATCATATTACTGGTAAAATAATAAGCGGTGTGGATAATGATATATCATTGATGATTATGTTGTTAATAATGTTGTTGTTGTTGTTGTTGTTGTTGTTGTTGTTGTTGTTGTTGATGATGTTGATGATGATAATGATGGTGTATTATTAACGTTGATAAAGGTAGGTAAAACGACAATGATAATTTTAGTTTACTGTGTAAAATGTGTGACATATACGGTCAGGTATTTACTACTTAATTGTAGAAACGTATATGGCACATACAGACAGTTGTGATTAATTCGGCCGAATATGTCACACACGTGTGACAAATACGTTCCGTGACATATACGGTCCGACAGGGCGTTATACAACTTGTTTTATATAGTTTTGAATTAAAATGGGAATGGGAAATTGTTTTCAAAGCTAGTCAATGTTTTCTCTGGTATAGCTCTTTTCACATTGCTTGGTTGAGTTCAAATTGATAAACAGGTCAATTTAATAAGTATTCATTAATAAATAACATTTTTATGCCAGAACCTACAACAAATATCCAAACAAAAGCAGTTTATTTGTTTCCCATTATGTTTGATGCGAGCCCGGATCCCATTGGTCTCGGATCTGAATTCGTAGCATAAATGATAAAAAAAAACATTGATGTTTAAAGCGACTTTTCGAGGTTTTTTGCAACTATTAAATCTTTTTGAAAAATAGTTTAAATTTTAGTACAACAGTCGATTTTCTGTTTTCTTCTGGGGTATGCTTCTTTAAAAATAAGAGGATGTGGGGGAAAATTTTGTTACCTTTGTATTTTATCATACGCTTTGATAAAATTGTCCTTCATCCCAAGGATCTTTATCATACAGCTTTGTTGATCTATTTTGATGTCAATGTTATAATGCTTTGCTATGGATGTAACTTCTGAAACCTTAAAAATATACAGAAGTCACGTTTTTATAGAAAGTTATTATGTCCCTCTTTTCATAATAAAGGAGCTTTAATAACGTATAAATATGTAACATAATACGGACTCTTTGATTCCTGATAAGATTGAAATCTTAAAATTTTAACATTCAGAAGTAAAACATTAGTCTTATAAAAATGTTTTTCTAGTTGTTTCGAAATGTGCATGAAATACCTGATCTTCATCAAGTTGCTGTATAATGTAATCAGTGAATGTCTTTGACTCAACTTCTTTTTCAATAAATAAATCCAGTCTCCTTATTGCATTGTCTATTACATCTTCGCCGAGAGAATAGATATAAAATGTAACTTTGTTGACGTCAGTCTCGTCCTGTGACGAATCTATTTGACTTTTATTTGGGTCATCAGTATCGTAACTACCACTGAACACACCTGTGTAATGTAACACAAGCTGTCACAGCTATTACATTATATTTATTCAATGCAACTAGAACAGTAAAAATAGAAAAATAGGAAAAATATACACAAAAAGCATTGTGAAAACGATCAACAATCATAACATCTTATATGAATTTTACACTGGCTGCCGGTACAGACCGGAATATCTAGCTCGAGGGTGATTGTTTACGGCGGTAACTAGGCTCTGTCGAGTTTCCATTAAACAGTTACCCGAGAGCTAGATATTCTCGTCTATACCGACCGCCGATAATTGATATTACTATCAATTATTTTCAGAACAGAAATTACGAAAACTGATATTCTCATTACGCACTTTTTTCTTATAGTAGCATATGAACGTACAACTTCATTCATAACGGTTAAGTGACGTCATCCTAAGAACGCAATTCATTCATAAAAGGCACAATGCCATGACGTCATTTAAAGCACGCGACTTGTCTTACATGGAGGATGCAAGACAGTGCTTTTAGCACCGGTGTAAACGGTAGATAATCTTTCCTGACATGCAAGAATAAGGCACTGCGGAATGTTCACAACGTCCATAACCCATCACACAAACTTTTAAAGTGATTAACTAAATTTTTCAAGGGTCGTGTTTGGTAATACAAGTGCAACTGAACATTTCAAAACTAATTCAATTAGTAAACAATAATATTTTTCTTTATATCAATGAGTTTCGAAGAGATATTAATTTAAATAGAATTGGATCAAAACATTTAAAGATAAACTTTGCAACAATCAAGTGGAAATAAAAACGACTAATATAACAATTTATTAAGCAGCTAATAATTATCACATATAAGAATTGCGACAATTTTCTCGTTGAATTTCAATGAGTATGGTGTGTTTCTAAGAGTAAAATTGCATTGCATTACATAGCAACGTGTTAAAAACAAGCACGTTTTTCTTTTCTGACTGACATTTATGCAACGCTTTAAAATATTAACAAACATCTTTAACTTAAATAAAGTCATAAAACCTACGATTTCAAAACATAAATGAAGCTCGATTTTCTCTACCTTTTATAAATCTTAAAATAGTGTTCCATAATTAATTGTATGAAATTCATTTTATCAAATCAATTTAATACTATAATCTTAGAAATTCTACTTAAAATGTGGGCGTTTTAATTTGAATGCGCAAATAATATTTATATTAGCAATACATGTTGCCATTAAATATGCCTTAAATTATTATACATCTGAATTTACCTTTGACATTTGACCACAGTTTTCCAATGAAACCTTTTTTATTTTTTGTATCATTCGCATCATACGCAACTTTAATGAATTCTCGAAGCATCGGTCTTTGAAAAACCACAAATCTAACATCCTTCAAATGCTTTGGATTCGTATACGAGAATTGTTCGACAGCATTGACCATTCCCCGACCGATAGTCGAAGAATCTGATGTATTCATACCTAGAATTATTGGTTAAAAGTTAACTGTTGAAATTGCTTTAATAAGTCGTTGATCTGATTTCACAACAACACGTAAATACGGTACTACAAGTACATAAATATGTTGTAATTATGTGTACATGTACCAAATATCAAAGAGCAAGTGACTTTCTATTTTCTTTGATTGAGCAAGTTGATGTCGCTTACTGCTAGTAAAATGATCTGAATGTTATTATTTCTTTCTTAACAATGAGCAATAGGAAAACATTTTTCATAATGATGATATTATAGAATATTTAGAGTTTCCTTATTTCTGAAAAAGAACCCTTCTAATAGTAAAGTTTTAGTGCAGAAAAATGTCCATAACTCATTAACCACACAGTAAATTTTGTTTAAAGTTTGCATACAGGTGACATTTAAGGCATATAACGGTCATAAGTTGTCGATTTTACAGTTCTTTATAGTGTCCATTAGGGGTGGTCTACCTTATCTTGCTACTTGTACGTAAAACGAATCTGAACGGAATTAAAACTTTGCAAATAACATTGTTTTGTATCCAAGTAAAATCTAATTAAGATATAAATGGCAGATGTCGAAATTGGAAGATTTTATGGTATGGGCAAAGTAAAAATACAGTTTTATATAAAAGTTCAGTTTAATTAAAGTAACATTTGAAAACAACTTCATTGCCTCGTGCCAAAGAAAATTTAACAAGAATGCAAGATTGTGAAAAGAATGCTATGCAACCGCATTAATCAGACATTAAATAGTAGGAACAGATGATCCAATTTTGTTTGTGTACAACTGAACTTTGCAATAATGAAATAGTGTCTTGTAAATTTGGAGGTCAAGGTCGTATTTCAATATGTTTAATGAAATACAATGTGCAGATGTATCTAATGCACCGATACAAAGGCTATAGTATAATAACTGATTTAAAATAAAATTAAAATAATTCTTTCGTGATAAACATTTATCAACCTTTGAAATACTGTTAGTTTTTATCCTTAAATCTTTTCATTTAAAAAGAATTATCTAGTTCTGAAAGCATAATCAAAACATTTTCAATTTAAAACCACCACTAGAGACAATAAACATAATTTATATAGATTTAAACTAATCTATACTACCTTTCTTTACGAGGGAAGGGTAGATTTGTGTGAATCGTAATATCCTTACAATGTAGTCAAATCATTTTTATAAATATCTCTGAAAAGCAAACAGTTCTCTTGCTAGAGAAAAGCAAGCATATGTCCACTTGCTATATAGCCCATGACCTTAAGATTAAATCTCAGCTATTTGTTGTTGTTGTTGTTTTTTTGTTGTTTTTTTTGTTCGAAACAAAGCAAAACATAACATGTACAAGCCCTTGTAGTTCTGGAGTTTTTTTAAATGTTTCCTTTATACATATAAGGAAAACACATAACATCTCGGGCGTGCTAATGAGATATAGTTTAAACAATCTTAGTAGAGGTCCACAGGATAATGCATAGTGCAAAATATCTATGGTCTTAGCCTTTTGTTTCAGAGGAGAAATTTGAAAAGAAAATCCAATAAAATTCCTTTCAATTGTCATGGCAACCAGATTTAAACATTTACAACTTTGGAAGTCCTTTATCCAAGGAACAATGTTGCAAGTTTAAATAAAATCAAACATGAGTTTGCTAAGATTTTTTTGTGTACACTTTTTAATCTATGTTACAAACACACTTACGAACCAACGCACGAGCGCACGCACACATTCACACTGGTGAATCGCTATTTTCGACATCATTGCAGATTGTGGTGAAATAAAAACTCCATAACAAAACAAATGTAAGTCTATTTTGTACCAATGTAAATAAAAACCATATGCATAAATTTAAAATCTGGATTAAATACATGTAATAAAATAAACACATATCATTGTACCTGTGCCAAGTGCTGGGAAAGCTAAACTTGTCATTTTTTGCTGCTCTGCTTCTTCCAAACATTTCAGGACAGTGTCCGTTATTTCATCTGTATTCACAACAATGTGCATAATTGAATTACTTGGTAAGTTTGGAGCACTTGTCACAACTAAAAACTCACTCTTCATCATATTTTCTGAAATGATGAAAAATTCATATTACAAAAACATTTAGTAATTACAATAGAAGCGAATACATTATTCATTTGAATCACTTGAAGAGTTACACAGAACACGTGAAACTAAAACAGGTATTTTCATAAGAACATGTATCTTATTGCGCTTAATTTATTTTTCCTTCATTTGATTCTTTGCTATAAACTGTCACCCAGGAAACACAAAAAGTCCGTTTATGTTATTTAATACACTTGTAACTACATATAGTAACAAAACTGTCTAGTGTTTATGATTTCAGCTGTTTATGAGTATCACGTTACCGATTATGAGTTGCGGTCAATCATAATCGGCCCGCTGAGCACGAGTACGTGCACAAACTGAAGAAATGACGTCACATTGTACGTTGTCAAAACAGTTACATGTAAAAATGAAGAAGTGTTTTAGCACAAATCGCTTGATTTTATTATGAGAACTTAAGCGCAATTTGTACAAATACAGTCTTTTTATAATTTCAAGAATAAAAAAACGGCAATTTCATTACAAGAAAGTAGAACGTGTTCCTTGATTCTAATGGACTGTTTATATACAAGCAACTCTGTATAAGTTACTGTACAGTGAAAAGAATTTCAACGAAGGAAATATTTGAAAGTTTTTTTTTTTTTTTTTTTTTTTTTTTTTTTTTTTGCCCCCCCTATTAGATCTATCAAGTGTATTAAATACATTAATACACGTCATAGAAGGGCCAGAAAATGGATAACGGTCCTGAAATGAGAGCCTTCTACACTTCCTTTGTAGAGCCATCGACCAAAACAAAGCTGAAAAAGGTAAACAAAGTTTCTAAAAATATCAGTTGTTTAAATAGGACTGTATATCCTGACAAAATCCTTTTAACTAATAATATACTTAGAAATAGTTTTGTTTGGCAAAAATAAGTAAGGAATTAATTATTTCTACAGATTGATAAATAAATTTACTGTTTCGATCAAGCTCTGCTTGCAACATCTTACCCCCTTGTTGTAAAATAACTTTTGATACGGCACCTAAAAACAAAAACTTCCATTTCATTATATTAAATAACAAATATATAAATGTTCATGTGACAGGAATGAATAGTATGTCACTTTTGAATCACAATGTCAAAAGTAATAATTTCTTATTAAAAAATATACACGACTTTCGTGAAAATGTCTTCAATCTTAAAATGAAATAAATGGCAACTAAGCAAACAGAATAGGTTGATAAAGAAAATTAAATATCAAGTGGGATCATTATCATAACAAAAACGCTCTGGAATAGATATTGTGTATAAAAGAAACAAGAACTTTCGCTGATTATGCGACTTATACAATGAAAAAAGGGGAATTAAATGTTGTGACGGTGTCAATTATATTTCAATACATCTTAACATTCTTGTCATAAATACAATTATAAATTGCAATCGAAAATATTTTTGCAAAATGTGTTCAAACGTTTTCTGATGCCTTATTTAAGAAGAGATGAAGAAAATGAATGTAATAGATCATAGTTTAAAAACAAATACTGTCATACCAACAGACAAATCCAAATCTACATTGGTACTGTTAACGATACAGTTTGCCTTTTCTGCCAGTAAATCACCAAGTTTTACCGTCAGTGTGACCTTTCCGAACATACGGGTGACAGATTCGCTGTCATTTGACAGTAATTCATAGCTCGTGTCTTCAAAATCATCTGAAATTATCTTCAATTAATATAAGCTTTTTTTGAAACACTTATCAGATATTGTTTTGTGGAAAGAAAAAGAAGTTTCATTGTATTGTTATCCTCTCTGTATCATTCAGTGTTACAAATAATTTTGCGTAACAATACGAATAACAGAAAATATAATATGTCAAAACAATGATATACACTTATGCTGTGATGAATTACACTCGGTCGAACCTTTTCTTAATCTCAGTATTTTCGCACCATACTAAATTGCTGTTCATAATATAAGACAAATACAAATTATAATATTGATTTAGGAAAACTTAATAAGTTGTGACAGAAATTACCTCCCTTTTTAGTTGATATTCCATTGCGAAGTATCTTTGATTCTTCATTTTCAAATGCCTAAAAGAAAGTTATTTAAAGCATCTTGTTATAATGAATGTATCTTTTGAAATTTACAAGTTACAATACTTCCACCGATAAATAAGGTTAATGGAGATATCTCGTTTACAGATTAATTTACATTTCCTATAAACAATGTATTGACTTATATATACATGTATATCTATACAAGGACAAGAAGGTAAAATATACAAATATGTCTTTATTCCAATTGATGCGAGTTATCAGCCAGCCACCCAATGGAAATAATGCGCTACTTGTATGACTATTTAAACGCGTTTTGTAAATTGTCTTAACTAGATACTAAAATATCAATGGAGTTATTAACAACCAAAGGTCAGATTATGTCCACAAAATAATACTAGATAGTACGTGTTCGTCCTTTTAAATTATAGCTTAAATAGGTAAGAAAACTTAAAAACATGGATTTAAATTAATTTTATATAACAAGACACATAGGTATGTAATGATACGTTTACAGCCGTTGTAGATAACTATTGATTGTCCATTCTAGCCCGAGCGTTCATTTCAAATGTGGTATTTGACAAATAGGTAACCATACTTTTCAATATATCGAATAAAAGGCAATCATTTTGTGAAATTTTAACAGCTTCAAATGAAGTTTAAATCAACCAGTTCGACTATTAAACATGCCTTTTTAGATATTGTAGTAATTGGCCTTGCACAGTACTTGTTGCAATTGTGAAAGTCAAGTTTCAAGTTTATAACTGTACCCTAACGGAAATCGCTTTTCTTTCTTCTAAATCTTAGAAATTTAGAATATGAAAATAAAATCGTTTTCACAAAACGAGATACTAGCCGGACTTACACGGTTAATAGTTCTTAAAGGTTCTTTGAAGTGTTAAACAAATCTGGGAAAGGGGCGATATCTCGAAAGCAATATGGCATATGACCCCTAAGACAAGGTCAATAACTTATAACTTTTAAATTGATACTACATGCAACACGTTCAGGGCTTTTAAAGTTAATGACTTAAAAAAATCGAAAGATATGTTTATAAAAATCTGAATAAAGTGCGATCCATCAGAAGCATTAATTACAATAAAATTACATGAAAATTGCAGACTTGGTTTAATTGAGTTTATAACCAAAGGATAATGAAAACATGCAACATACCTCCATCCCCCTCACCATCGGCTTAAGCGGTACTCATTTTTTTTCAATTTTAAAAGTCTACATAAATGAAGTAACCCCAGAGTGGGGCCGATCTTTTTATTACCAGTGTTATGATTCATGTTACTTGTGTAGAGGTCGACTTAGCGATGCTACATTCCAAATATCTAAATTATTGGTATGTACATTCCACAAAAACACATGAATGTGTTTTTTTATAAGTCTCCTTATATCAAGTGACCCGGCTGTGTGTTACTTTGACTTAAGAAAAGCAAAACCTGCATTCTGCACAACGCGTAAGTATGGTTAACATTTCTGCAAAAATAGTTTCAATTTTCTTCCATCGGCTCAAAAGAAACAGACGAGACATGAAATTGCTAACAGACGAACGGAAGGACGGACTTCCTTCTAGATGCATAACAAAATTCGCCAGATTTTTTGGGCGTACAGAAAAACAATATTTTATGTAACTTGCAGACTTTGTTGAGTCCATTCATCAGAGATACTGTTAATGTTCAACATCTATAACAGCCATATGAGCTTGTTCTTTTAAACTTGTAAAGTTACTCTATATTAAATTTGATTAACAACCTAATGCCATGCAAGTAATATTTTCTACACTTTTTACATCACATTAAAAAATTTCATAAATAACATAAAATAACTCATTATTGTTTCTTCTTGTAGTCATATTATTTTTCAATACCTGAATACATTCATCATCTTTGTAGTACAAAACGAAGCGCACGTCGTGTAACTTCTTTCTTAATCCGGTTCTTCCGAAGGTAATTACTGCTTTATACATTTCCTCCGCAACTACATCTTGAGGATAATCAAGCTGTCCTGTTCCAAAAGCTGGCAAAGCTATGCTCGAGTGGCCTTGATTATCAGCTTCCTCGAGACACTCAGAAACAAGGTCAAACAGGCGCTTCAAATATATTCGTAATTTTATGAACATATATCATTATACATGGCTGCATATTTATCAGTTTTAAACTTAGTTCAGGGCAGTTTTTACATCGTGTTAAGTTTTTAGTTCAATAAATGTATCGTTTCATTAAAAAATCAAATTAAAGAGAAAAACACTAACAGCTCAATCTCTAAGATATGTAGAAATGCAATTTTTACCTTTCTACACTCCATTTTCTTTCTGACATCGAACTGGTCCAAAGCGGTGTGATAAACGTGCTTACACTTGAGTTTGTGGCCCGAAGTAATAGCTATATTAATATTCTTTAGACCATGTGGATATTTTGAATGGACTTCTTCCTGCATTTTTTTACCAGCCACATTCAATAACGAGATAGACACAGCTCCGTTTGCTAAGGTCAAGTCTTTTGATGTTGAATTTACAATCACATGTACCTGAAGTATGTATATGAGTGCAAATAAGTCAGAAAAAACTATATCATCAGTATTAAAAATATTTGATCTTCAAAAGCCTTTGTACATGTTATTTTCAATAATTTTGTTTGCTCAAGTTTAGGACCTAAAAGACTTAAAGAAAAGAGAATTATTCTTTGAAACAATAACTTTGTTTGTCAATATTATAACTGTTTCGGTTATTACGTAGTTTTAATATAATTTCTCAGATTTAACGTTAAAAGTTTAATGATTTAATATTATAACAGGAAAACGTATTGTCCTTAGAATATAATGAACATGATCATGATATTAACACTAGTCAAAAATTATAAATACATCACAATTCACTTTCTTAAATACTAAAGCAATGTAAGAAAATACATCATTATAACTTGTGAAAATAAATATAAAACATAAGTTCAGAAACATCTGATAAGAACAAGAACAGGAGCATCACAAAGGCGGGACAATTTACGTATATATATCGTAGTTTCAAAAAATAACTCTCAGATATGTATGTTTCCTATTTAAGTCTGTATAAATCAAGTGACCTCTTGGTCGGGGCCAATTTTGAACAAAGACGCATGATTCATATCAACTTTTTTAAGGATCAATAAAGCAATAATACATGCTAAATACCTAAGCTCTAGATATTGTAGTTTCAAACAATGAAACATAAAGGTGCTTTACTATATAAGTCTATATAAATCACAAATCCCTGGGGTGGGGCCAATTTTGACCTCAGGTAGCCCGAACCAGTGTTCTTCACTTGTTTCTTTATAAATAATATTTCTGCTACGAGGTTTATTTTTCAATCGGTTCAAAAAACAGAGCGGACTAAAATTTAAAAAATGATGCAAAACTGCGTTCTACACATTGTCTCATAATGGATAATATTTCTGCCAAGTAATTTTAATTTCCTTCTATCGGTTCGGAAAATACAGACTGGACACAAAAACTGCTTGCGTGTAAAATTTAAAGGGACTTCACTGAGGTTTAAAAATCTAAAAACATAACATTTGAATTTCTTACATAAATGTGCTGGGGCACTTTAAACAGTAATATATACAAAGATAGTTAAGAAATATACTTTGAAATAAATTGAAAATCGTATTTTTATGCTTTTCTTAGCCTTTGAGTGAAAAGCGTTTAAACGCTTTTCAGTTTGGGTCAGTTTTTTAACAATTTGAATAATTATTATGGAAAAACGGTGTGCGCGAATGATCTGAAATTTCGCACAAAGATTAATGGTCTAAACCTACATCAAATGGTACAATTATCTGGAAAAAAATATTTTCAGTCCCATCATGTCAAAAAACCGCAGTGGAGTCCCTTTAAATGATCTGGAGAAAATTTAATTCAGATATGTATCTGTAATTATATAGTAAAGAAGTCATTTAACAAATATGTAAATTCATTCATCCTTTCTTTTTCAACCTTTTCTGACGAAATTTCTCCTTTAACAATCTTGACTTTCAGTTTTCCTATTTGAACTCCGTTTACAATCTTCAGTATCGGTATCTCGGCATCGGCATCTAAAATATTACAAGTGTCTTTTTGGCATTTGATACAAATAGCTCATATGAACACTCATGCAAAAAGTTCAAAAAGATAATAAACAATCCAAATCAAATGTTTCCCTTTAGGTATGAGCCCCCTAATGGGTACTATAAGGAACTATAAAATTGACAACATAGGTCAGTTATATACCTTAAAAGACACTAGAATGCAAAATTTGAACAAAGTTTACCGTATGGTTTACGAGTTATGGAGATCTTTCTTAAGTAAAAGTTGGCTATTAGAAGGGCTCTTTTTCAGAAATGAGAAACTCTAAATATTCTATTTTATAATCATTATGAAAAAATGTTTTCCTATAGAACATTTTTAAGAAACAAATAGTAGCATTAGGCATTTCTACTCAAAATGTTTGAAATATGTATATAAAAGTTACCCTACCCCACCCATTTTAAGTAGTTGTTTGATCATTTTTCTACTGGGGGGGGGGGGGCTTATTCAAAATATCCCTTAAATTTATAGTATATTGGTTGTACTTGTCAAATATAAAATACTTTTATCGTCTAGTTTTTATTTTGTAAGACTTTGAAAATATCAGGTACCATATTTGATAATAAATTTGGCACAATTTAGCCAATAAATACCAAAAATAATTTCATAATTAAAATGAAACACTTTTTCTTTTCTGAGAGATACAAATAATGTTCAAAGAAAAAAAAAGAAAAAAAAAGTTGACTCTTCTGTGGCTTGAACCCGCGCCCCTCAGTTACAATGCAGTTGACAGTAGTTCTAGCCTATTTGAATACTCTTCAAAGTGGAGGTAATGTATCAGGTGGATCATACCTTAATCCAATCTCCTGCGCAGTGATCTCCCCTTACAGGATTAGATCTCTGACATCACAACATTTTCGTCAATATTTTTGACGATATAAATTTTTTCAATTTTTATATTTATTGTAAAAAGTAAACACGGTTTAGCTAATGTTTCAAGACCAATAGGTGTTAGATTTGAACTAATAATTTATATTTATAAATAAACAATTTTGGAAACATAAATATTATGAAAATAGTTTTCAAAAATTTTGATCCCGCACCGTCTATTTCCAAAACAATGACCCTTCTCGAAAAAGAAATCATTCAAGTAATTATTAATTTCGAATCTACGCTTTACATTTTTTTTTCAATCATATCGACATATTTGAGGTCAGAGTTCAAGTTTTAATGTCGCTTTTTATTACAGATAAAACATTTTTCAACGATTCATTGACGTATTTTTACACAATCATGTGATAAGACCATCATGACGTGATTTGTGTGAAGGCAGTGGTTACTGGTCGTAGCGTAACCGGTGCGCGGAGTTTGACCTTAATCAGATAACCATTGAAGATATAAAAAACAAACAATAAATTTTATAAAACGATGTGTATGTCAAAATGGTAGGATTTTTATAGAAATATCACCAAGTGAGAGTTACGTTCACGAAACGCGGCCTTGAACAATACCAAAATATACAGGTCCTTTGAAAATCACAAAAAAGACAATTGAAATTTACCTTTGATTTTTGAACTCTTCAATTTGGAGGATTTGTTCCTTCCCGTCATATTCACAGAGTTTTTATTCATATTTCCCACGAGAGGCTTAGGATCTCTGCTATAAGTTGATACTTTGTCAGGCCCAAATTCGGAACATAGAGCGTTCGTGAAACATTGAACCTTTTTCTCATCATAATCACACAAATAAACTTCTGTAACAGGACTATTCTGAACTTCTAGGAAAAATTGTTTGACAGAACTTATTATAGTTCCTGTTGCGACGTCGGGGGGAAACCTGAAAATCATTCAGAAGTTCACCTTTAATTTGTTCAACGAAACAAAACTCTAGATAGGAAAATATTTACTGAATTTGATCATATCGTACTAAAGTTGATTTTTCCCGATAACATAAATGCATTATATTTAAAATAACCTACATAAGACAGCTTTTTAAACATTTTGAAAAGACGAATTCTAAATTCATACGATTTTATGTCAATTTTTTTTTAAATTTTGTTCATAGCATCATAATTATATAAATAGTAAATTTGATTTTGATACTAAATGGGCGATTGTCTATTATGATTTATTTGGTTTTCCTCCCTTTGTGGAAAACGAAATACGAAAAGTACTATGATCAGAAAAAAAATGAAATAATAGGAAATTATTTGATTAAATTAGCCTCTAAACAATCACATGATAAAAAATATGTACCCGTTCACACCGCAACCAATGGCAGGAATTGCTACAGAACTTAACCTCCGTTTCGTGGCCTCTGTCAAACAGTTAAAAACAGAATCACCTAATATCTTTATTTGGTTGTCGGTTCCTTGGTTCCATTCATGGCTTAATATATGACTTACATACTTTGCATTTAAATTTCCTCCTTCGCTTACAAAAACATCATCAACTGCTAGATCCCCATTTCCTTTGATGAAGTCTTCACATTCTTTTTTTATACTTGCACCACCTTAAAATAAACGAATATATCATAAGATTAACAAAGAATGTTAAATATGATTTATCTTTTGAAAATTATTCAAATTAATGTTGTTGTTGTTGTTGTTGTTGATCATTTAATAGCTAAAAAACCGTCGTTTAAATTTTGTGAGGACATCACATCATGTCTATTGCAATATCAATATATTTACAGGCCCAACATTAAGATAAATGTATTCCTACAGTTAAATACTTCTAATGTAATTCCCCAACTTTTAAGAATATTTAGATAGACCAAATTTAAGCAAATTGTATGTAATTTAGAATGAATTCGAATCACACTTGGGTCAAATTATTTTCATTTCATTTTTTCAACTTGTTAATGCATCTCAAATATCATTTTTAAAAGAAGCAGTGTTGTTAAATTTTAATAACATGTATTTGTTTGTATATGTAATTTTTAGCGGCTAAATAATGCTAAATTTGTAAACAAATTTCTTAAACATTCAAGATTACATACAATCAGGGTAAACGTTCCTATAGGATCAACCAATAAACTTTTTCTAATAATTAGGAAAACTTTGGAAAACAATATCTAAATGATTTAGATTTTAGCGAGTAATTAGGCAGTTTTTGAAAATAGTGAGTAGGGTAACTTATATTTATTTCAAACATTTCAAGTCATATCAATTCTTTATTATACATAGCCTGTTATCTAAATAGTATTACTTGTTAAGATAATAAGATAAACATTTTTACAGTGTAACTCTCTGTATCCGCAACTTCAAAATTAAAAAAAAGACTGAAATTCGATCAATTTTCAGTGCTCATCTGTTTTATATGTAAATTATGCCTCTGAATTCTAAATTCAGAACGATTTGCTGGCAAAAATTTGGTTTAAATCAAATTATCCGGAACTTAAAAGGATGTAAAGAATTATTAAACTTATTATAATAGCACCTACAAAAATATATGTGCCTTCTAAATAGCAGAGACTATTTAATCTAAAACCTTAGAATCACATCCTGTCAAGCATGTCAACCCCTTAATTCAAGTGTGAAAATTAAAAAAGTGTGAAGCATTTTGTAACAAAAATATAGGTTAGTAGTTGAAAAAAATTAAATATTTTTAAGTAAAAAATTTATAATAACTTTATGCTTATGTATAAACAAAGTCAGTAATAGCTGATAATAAAATTTCTTTAACTTTTTAAGGAACTTTAAATTTCGACATTTTATAAACTATATCGACATCATATTTTTTCATCATGTGTAACATTAAGAACTGATGTTTAATAATTCTACTTGTTAAGATTTTTCCGAACTTTTGAATTCCGGAAACATCCAAAATTCGAACTTTTTATATGTTCGGCTTTCAGAAGTTACACTGTATTAGGATGACATTTTTGAGCTATTGTTTCCTTATTTCTGCAAAATGCTAATGTGGTTAATCAATCGTTACTTTCGGCCAGCTGACACTTGTTATCAATAGCGTAACCTACAAATCACAACTAACATCCACATATTTTTGTATATATCGCGATTTGTATTAAATATTATTGAATAAGAGTAAAAAAATAACGTTTGTACCTTTAGAAATTATGGCTCTTCCTAGTCCACCAAGGAAACGTATTTTTTCATCATCTGGATTAATAATCATATCAACTTCAAGCTCCGTCATATCGCCAACAAATGCAAATAATTCTCTGCCATCCAAAAAGGTACATTTGGCAGCAACACGTTTCTCTCCAACTTCTGTATTTCCCTGGTCACCTCCCTCAATAGAAACAATACATTTCAATACTGTCTCAACCGTATTTATGCTGTCTTTCCCTTTAGCTTTTCCAATGTAATCAGCAACACCAGGTTTTCTGATGGTGTGTTTTCTTTTCTTCACTCTGTTGCACAATTTTTGTAACTGCGTTGATGCTTTATCTACTCCAGTGACTAACCCATCTACTTGCATGCCACTGTAATTTTCGGCAATTAATATTTTAACATGGTATGCACTGAGTTCTAGTGATATAGCAGTTATGTCTGATTTATGGTGCTTTTCAATTAACCTTATTACATCTTTCGGAAAAGAAAGGAACTTTGACTGTATCGTTTTTGAATCTATAAACCTATTTACTTCTGAAATGACTTTCGGAAGTATATCCTTAGTTGCACAGACAATAACCATATTTTCTTCAGTACAAAATTCTACGTTCCCCTTATAACTGATACGTAAATTGTCTTGTATCATTCGCCAACTGTCGGCCTTCATATCAGGAACAGATTCAGGAATAAATTTAATTCGTTCTTCTGCAATGCTTGTTAAAATAATTTCAGCACAATTTTCGAGCATATTGTCCTGCGTGCAACACACTTGAAGGGAAGAATTCCTGATTTCCCACATGGCTTGTAATCCTCTTTCTTGAAGAAGATTCTGGATGAATCTAACAGTCTCTTCTGACTTATACAGTGAAATCAACATGTCTGAAGATAACTCACTTTCTTTTCGACCAAAATTATTTTTCATCTCATAAAATTTTATTTGAGCATCCTTGACGGAATGCATGGGACCCTCAAATATTATAGCGTTTTCTTCATCGTCGATTTCTATGGTTAAGTCATCAAAGTTTTGCTGTATTTCTTGAGCTGCATTTGTAACGTTCATAAGTCTGAGCTCAATTGGCTGAAATCCTCGCATATATTCCCTGACTTTCTGTCGGTCTTTCTCAAATTCCTGCTCGAGCTTTTCATTTTCACATAAAACTTTTATCTTTACTTCTTCTGCAACGTCTTTTCTCCCTACTATATTTATGACATTATTTTCTTTGATCTGATACATTTGCACATGTTCAGGTTTGTCAACTGAAATTGTTCGTACATAATCAATAAGTTTTTCCCAAATATATGTATGAACTTCTATTTGTGTAAGCGACAGATCTGTCAGTAATATGGTAATTTTCCTTTCAACTCGTTCTTGCCATGTCTTGGCATGTTTAAAGCAACCATGAACGGATAAATCAAGCGTACATGTTATCAATGTATCGCCTGCTGGTTTCATGGGCCACACGATATTTGCATACACTTCTGACATTTCTTTTTCAAATTTCTTTTTATAAAAGGGAATGGTATGGCAAAATTGTATTATTTCTGGTGCATAATTTGACAAGTCAATCGGGTCAGGCACTTTAAGAACTCTTTCATGTGTATCTTCAGTTCCCTTAAGTAGTTTTTGGTAACAGCTTACTTTAAGTACTCTGCCTCCGAGAGTGTGTTTCATTTCCAAAACACTATTGACAACTGAAAATATGTCAAACATAATTTTCGTAATAATGTATATAACATTGGTGTATACCTCTCAAATAAAGCTTTGCTCTCTATATAAACAGATAATTTAAAACTTACTTTCAGACTAATACGTTTCTGTTTTCAATTTCGCTGTCTGTAAATGCCATAATATTCTATTTTTACGCTAATTAATAATAGTATAAAATACTAATTAAATGGCTTTTTTACAAAAAAATAAATGTCTCCCACGTATTTACTTTAAGGATAGAACAGCAGCATGCAAATGCAACCAGAAGTTTGATATGTCAAAACCAGACAGGATTTTCAAGTCTTAGCACTGGCACCCATTTCTTGCAGCTAAGTAGAACATGCTAGCAATATGCACAACAATGCTTGTGTTAAGTTTTGCAAACATCCCGCCAGCAGTAAATCTAGACAAGAATTACCTTCTTTTATAACTGGTATCCGATTTGTGAAGTAAACTGGAACGTGCCAGCAATATGCATACAATAGATTATTAGTGATCACTCCTGTGAAGTTTTGCCAATATTCTGTCTGCAGTTTGACCTTTGACAACCGGATTAGATTTTGGAACGTAAGAACGTGCCAGCGATATGCAAAACAAGGGTTTGTACTGATATCGCCAGTGTAAGATTCTCGCCAGCAGTTTGACCTGTTAAAGCCGACAATAATTTTTTTCAGCCCCGGTAGCCATTTAGTGCAGCAAAGCGAGGCGTGTAGCCATATGCCAGCTTGAGATGGTCCTGATAACTTCTTTGAAGTTCCTTGGAATTCCTCAAGCAGTTTGACCTGCACAATTTGGTTAGTATTTTTTGTGTTTAGCTCTGGTGTTTTTTGTGGGTTTTTTTTAGCATGCAAAAGTTGACGCCCATCTGCACACAAAGGTTTATACTCATTTCTTATAGAGTTTCGCCGAATTGCCGCATGAAATTTGACCTGTGAACGCCGGAAATGGATTTTCTATTTTTAACTCTAGCAACCATTTTGTGCCGGCAATATGCACAACAAGGGTTTGTAGTGATCACGCCGGTGTAAGATTCGTCGAATTCTCGTCAGCAGTATGACCTGTGAAAGCTTGACAGGGTTTTTCAAATATTTATCACTGGTGGTCATTTTGAGCAGCGAAGCGAAAATGCCGACTATAGCACAACGAAGTTGTACTGATCACGCCCGTAAGGTTTAGCGATTTATTCTCCAGCAGTTTGACTTGTGACAGCCAGTCAAAAAATTTCTGTTGTTAGCTCTGGCGGCTATTTTGTGCAGAGTAGAGGGACGTGTCAGAGATATGCATAACAAGGGTTGGTACTTAACACTCCTGTGAAGTTTCAGAGAAATCCCGTCGGGAAATTTACCTTTGAAAGCCAAAATTGATTTTCTATTTCTTACTCTGGCAACCATTTTGTGCAGGGCAGTGGAACTTATCGACAATATTCACAAATAGGATTTGTACTGATCACTCGTCGAAATCCCGCAAGCAATTTGACATGTGAAAGCCGGACACTTTAAATGCGGGTGAACAGTGAAACGGACGATCGGACTGATGTACGGCGAAGGCAAAAGCAATATGGGATTGTTATTATAGTTGCATGTAATACAGTATGAATGGCTTTTACATTTTGTTACTCACTGAGTTTTTATAAAATTTAACATTTTAAGAAGTTTTGTGCTATGAAAAATACCTTTGTAATTTTCAAAATAAACTAGACAAATTCCTTCTGATTTGGTCAAAATTACTTTGTCAACTTTTCCCTTTTCTCCAAATTTGCTTTCAAAATAATATCTCAGAGTATCTTCTGTTATTTCAGTAGAAATGTTGGCAAGATAAATACAGCTAGATATGGGTATTCTTTCGATCGTGAGCCTTTCACCCTCCAAAGTCTGAAGTCGGCATGCCTCTTTTAACTTTGTGAAGTCTACAATTAAAAAAATGTTTGACTTTACTTTCGGACAATTATCTACAACATTTCATTCATTATTCATTATTGGAAGGTACTGTTTATAATTAAATGATGGACAATGTGCAAAATGAATGTTAGTTTGTAGTAATCAACGTTCAATTCAATGGAAAAAAACAAATTAAAGAAAAATGCACTCCTGAATTCCTGATTCCTATTTGACTCAATTGTCCGTTGCCTTTATAAAATTGAATACTATGCGCTAGAGGGGCATGAGGGATGATGCACTTCTTATTATCCCTCAGACACTAAACAAGTCAACAATTTGCATGTATTTTTGTTGTTTTCCTTTATTGATGGCATCTGACGGACCGGACTGTTTCAATTTTTTCTTGCTTAGTTGAGCCCTTGATTTGCCTTTCTTTTTACTCTGCCTTTCATTAAGCGTCTAACACTTTTGTTACTAAGATTGGGCTATACTTTTTTTGTATATATTTACATGATTATTTATATCTTTTATTTATTTTCTCTAATGTAACCAGGCTCAAACCGGTTTAAACTCCTAGTGTTATACTGATTTTTCCAATGTGGTACCTCTCTGTGTTCCTTGTGTATTGATACATGTTTTGAATATTTACAGGTTTTGTGATATCATCATATCTTGTTAAATATAATTGTCATTAACAGTAATAATTTCCTTCCATTCCTCATCATATTACATATGGTGCCCTGCCCCCTATCCTTACACCCCTTGTCTCTTTAATTCCCGTATCGGCCCATTTATTTCTTTTCATTTTACTGACTTCCACAATTGTGGCCTCTCCCGTTTTTGGTTCGGTCCCTTCTGGGTTCCCTTCTGATGTGGTTGGTTTCTGTCGGAGCTGTGCTTTGCGAAAGTCGCCATGCTTTGATGATCTTTGTTCTCATATTTTATTGCCATTGAGTGAAACATGCTCTCTACAAATTAATCCAGTTAAAGACAATGCATATTTGAAATTATTTGCGTCATGTTTGACGGACATTGCTCGAACAAACGGATTTAAATGAATTTAAATTTTATGTCAGGTATATTTTTAGGTAACAATTGTACCATAAGTTTAGTGACTCAAAGAAACAATAAAAAATCTAGATACAGTGTGATCCTTCGGAAGCAATAATAACAACAAAATTAATTGAATATTATTCAAGAAACTCTCTTTTACACGCGTATTTCTATAAGATGATGACATATTTTGACTTTAATTTTTTAGTATTGCAGATGGTTCGAAAAAAGATAAAATGGCAACCTTTTTGTCCAAAGATAAGTATTGTATATATTCTAATACATGAATTGTAGTGTGCAGACTAGGCGCTTACGGGTTTATAATTGAAGCAAATGTGTACAAAATATCATGTAATTAATATGTTCATTTGCTTCTTTACAAAATGTATGGTTACTATAACAAACAGAGTAAAAAGTAAAAATGTTCTTAATTAATCCAATCAACTAACGTGTTAATACCGTGTGTACCGACCTTTTCTATCTGCATCGTGCCCACAGCGGTCTCTTAGGATGCACATATATATGATGTATTTTTATATGGAATATGGTCAGAAACTTAAAATTTATTTTCAATCGGATATTTATATAAATCAGCATATTTGGCTGGCAAGAGAGGGACACGGGTATGGTGCTTAGCCAACATGGTTTTGTCGACCTATGTACATTCAAGGAGCGTTGTCCTTGGCCAAAGTCATTCGAGAGCTGGTCTTGGAATTCAGTACCAATAACCTGGTATTTGTATCGTGGGGCATTCAGAAGACCTCCAACATTGTCGTCAGTAAGATCAAAGAGAAACCATGATACTGTACATTATATCAATTAAGAAAATGAGATCAAAAAGCCTGGTCGTCTAGATTTTGTATACAAATCTTTTTTACACCAGTGACGTGGACCCCAGTAACTCCATTATAAGTAAGACGCCAACGCGAAAAAATACCAACCAAGTATAAATGTCATCAGTCAATAAATATAAATTGTGTCTGGTAGCCTTGACCTAAGTGAGCACTTCGCCACCTAAAATTATAGTACCAAACATGACATTTACCATGTAAGTAAAAAAGACACCAAGTTAATAAATATTAGGCTGCATAAGCAAAATTATTAATATCAATTTTAGCATCAGTCACCTTAACAATAGCTTGGACTGTCTTTTTTAACAAAATTGAGAGGACCACCAATAGTATTTACATGCTAAATATAAACAAGGAGTTCATTGGCCCAAAACCTGAGGGCAGACTGTTATTTGAATAAAAGTGCTTGAATAGTGCTTATTTCAATAATCTAATGATGTTGGTTACTATTTTTTTACTATATACATGGTCCTTATTTCAAAGCCGTATATCAAAAACAAGAAAGCATTTCACAAGATTAAAAGTAAAGCCATCTGATAACAAGATCAACAATGATATGTGGCGTTCAATGAACGCAACCCCCACACGTCCCAGCAACAATGACCAGTGGCCAGGAGGACCCAAAAAAGAACAGGACATGGCACAAGGAAGAGCACGGACAGGATTATCACTTAATAATAAATGAAATGAAATAATAGTGGCCGATAAGGAAATCAAATATAATTGATTGACTAATAGGCCAAAAAGTAAAAGGGCACATGGGAAAGGAGACGGGGCAAAATGAAAAAAATGGTGGCAAAAGGGTAATAACTAACCGTAGACGAGAAAACAACAAGGGACACAAACAGATGTGTCACCAGAACAGTATGAAACAACAAAGACATACATCTGAGGGACACAGAGGGGCACGGCCTTTGAAGCATAGGTACTGAGTCCCCCCATGTGTATTTCAAACAGTTGTTATGGTTGTAATAGGTGAAATAAGTAAAACACCGAAATGATCATGTAGAAACATATAAAGAAAACACAATGACCATAACAAAAGTACATAATATCTTAAGAAAGACAGAGCCACAATGAAATCACCAACAATGGCCCAACGAAACAAGATAGAAGACGAACATTAAGGCAATTCGTCCGGACTGGCTTTAAGAACTGTCAATCATAGAGTTTCCCACTTGGTCCGTTAGATGTCATCAAAATAGGAAAGCATAGCGTCCAACTTTAAAAGGGTTGAAAATTTACCATGTGGTATGTCTTAAAATAGGAGGGTCATAACCTCTTTAAATAAAACGTTTAATAATTTTAGTAAAGTCAACAGAAAAATTGCAATCACCCAAATTCTTTCAAAGTAAATAGCATCCCGATAAAAATCAGTCTGGCTTATCCCTTGTCGCAGACGTGTTTTTAAACCATAATCAAATCAAGGTTACGATTGTGAAATTTTGTAAAATATTTACGTTATTTATAATAACGTTAGCCCTGTTTGTGTAATGAGCAACAACTAAATAAAACGAATTCTTGAAATTTTAGCACATCATTTTTGGATATTATTACTGTCAAAAACAATTCTATTCACCCGAAAATCTATGATAAGAGAGATGACGTTTTTATTTTTGTATAGTAATATCCACATTTAGATGGCGACGTACCGCATGCAATATCTTACGGGTTTATGTATCTCAGTTAATAAAATTCGCTAGAGCTTGTAGCAACGTACAGCAATTTAACTAGCGAAATATTGTCATTGCTAGCAAAATTCTCAAACAGGGCTATTATCATCCAAATCAACGTTTATTTAGAGTTTCATATTAATGCGACAAATAATTATGACCTTGTATGAAATGCCTATGAACTTTTCGATCACCCCTTTTACTTGTATAATGACTGTTTTTTTATTTAAAGCTAGATATTTTTTCATCTTTAGATCAGAAAATAATAAACAACCTGGCGGTTCCTCCATTGTCACAACAATAACATCTTCGTCTTCTACACTATATGCAATTTGCAAAACTTTTATTCCTGTTTTTGCTTCTAAGAAATTGTAAATACTGTCCTTTGAAGTTGTCAAAGCGATTCCCTTTACCAAAACCTTTGTATCGTAATAAGGTGGTGATTTATAAATACGTGTTTTGATAGTTTGTCCCTCGACTTCGTGACTTCTTCCAGCAACACACTCAGCAACTTATGTACATAATGGTATTAAATATACATGGTCAATGGTGTTTATTGTTAACATTAATCATAAATTTGTTGAGAACAATAATTAAGGACACGAATTTAGGTGCGTGTGATTTATATAAACTTTTTTCTTTTTTATAACAGTTGAATAAAGAAGTTTTTATTGATGTGTTTGCTAATGCTACTGGGATATTATCTTTTGGTGTATATGTGTTTTTCAATTATAATGACGCATACATGTAATTTGCGATATGGAAGTTTCTTAACACCTTTTTCGCAGAAAGATGTGCGAGAAATGTGATAACTAAAAGAATCGTTTTTAATATGAAAATATAAACTCATCTTTTCCTACCTTTTCTGTCGGTAAACTGAATATAAACTACGTCTTCATCTTCTTGATCAGCTTCAATCGCTGCAATAGTTCCGCCACCAGAGGCTAATTTATTTTCGAAATAATACTGAAGTGTTTCTCTTGTCACACTTTTAATTCCAGATACCCTTATCATGTTTGAAGTGACTTCATCCTCTCCGTGTTTATTGGCACGAACTAATGACACTTGTATTCCCTTCCAATTGTGTGTGTGGTCCTTCAGTAAAACTCTCCCAGCAACTTGTATTAAACAATAAGAGATTCACTTTGTTAAATTACTAATTTTTACAAAGGAACATGACATATTTATAATTTTCAAAGTTTATCCCTGTATGGTATTTATAAGTGACGATTTGAAGAACACATATTAAGATTGAAATTTTCTGACCGATATAAATATTTAACTCTATGAATTAAAAGATGCCAATTTGATATGTGTTCAAAGTCAAATTGCAAAAAAAAATTGAAATACGCAATATGGAGAAAAAATTGCGAGTAAAAGTAAGGATCGTGACAAGTTTGCCTTTTTGAGAAACTGGTATTTTCATATGTAAACAATTTAAGAAATCTTCATAAAGTTAATTTCAAATATATACATTTATGTCTTAAATTCAAATATTGGAACATTCGCATACATTCCTAAATCATTTTTCTTTTCCCTATGAACTTTATTAAAGGACAATAACATACAAGTGACTGATAAGTTTTAACCACTACTTGTACCAAAATATATAGAGGATATTTGTTTGTTTGGTTTTTCTTTTTATTTTACGCTTAAAACAATTTTTTAATGAAATTTCCTCAATATTAACTTTGATATTAAACTCTGCTTACCCCAATGGTAGCCTCATTTTTAGTAGACTTTCTCATAAATACAATCAAAGTTAAATGGCGATGATATTATTTATCTTATTGCTTATTTTAATAATAAGAACAACAATTCTAGAAGAAGAAAAAGTCACACCATCCGACATAATTTCCATTATATTATAACTGTGAATTTATATTAGACCAGGCTTTGAGAAATATCAGCGGCCGCCATTTTTAAAAGTTGTGTATTTCACTGGAGGAAAATAATTGTGTTTGATTCAGAAAGACATCATTTAGATTTGTAAGTCATACATATTTTTTAAGAAAGAACACTTATTTGAAGATTGTTACAGACAAAACTATAATTATTGACTAAGGTGTAACATTCAAAAAGCGGCTAGGAATTAGGAAAACATGCAAGTGTTGAAAGGCTGTCTTACGAACGCTGGGTTGTTTACTTAATCTTCGGGAGTCTGGCTGCAATTGCTTTTCAAGTTTTCATATTGAATTAGGCATTTTTTGTTCCTAGGATACTAAAATATGCCAAAATGTCACCAAGAATAGTTTTGCATGTGGAACGAATTACATTTTTCAGACTTAAAAAATGAAACAAAAAAGTTTAGAGACGATGTTTGGTGACTGGTAATTTATATAAATTGAAGTAAGTTTCTTTTTTCTTTTTATTACGTTTAAAATTTTAAGTTATTTATCAATTTCAGCTTGACTTTTCTCTATACAATCCTGACAATGTCAGAACTGTCAGCAAAAATAAAATTGTGTGAAATTATTTTTTGATAGTTTTCACTGTGAAATCATAATTTTCACGAATAAATCAGTTATCCACTCAAAAACATAAAATAAATAAATGAATATTATTATTATTATTATTATTATTATTATTATTATTATTATAATGATAAAGTAATTGTATTTTCTGCACCTTTCTCGCTTTCAAATGTAAAGTATGCCTTGTTTGAATTTGGTTCGGCATGATATTCAACAATTTTCCCTCCACTTGACTTATGACTGTTCTTGAAGTACAGATATAATGTGTCAATGTAGTCTTCAATGTTTGGAATGCCTGTGACTTCTATTGAACATAAACTGCTGCATTGTTCCACATAAGATTTAATTTCAATCTCTTTTCCTTTTATCCTTATTGGCTTCCTCTTCATTATAAGGGAAACAGCTGAAATAATCAAATACATTGATCTATTATATCGTTTTATCATACTGAACGTTTGTGACGTCACTTTTCATTGGATAATCAGGACGTTTATATAGTTTTATTTACACGACTGCTGCCAAGTTTCTAAGAAATCTCACTTTTTCCTAAAAATAGGAAGTTTGTTGTATCACAAATTCGTTACAAGTATTCCTGACAGGATATATGACCGAAAGTAAACGGTTTTTGCAATATTACCCTCGCCTAAAGTTTTTTTAAAGTTTTGATTTATTTGCTCTCATTTTGGTTGCAGACGTAAGTAACTGTTTTTTGGAGTATTGCCTACATATAACATTTGCTCCGTTACAAAGGCGATACATACCTAGTGTACATCATGGATGCATAGATCTTTGAGTCTTAAGTTTTATTGCAAAATAGCATTAATAGTTTTAGTGATGAAGCGGGAGAAGATTTCTTGATAAACATTTGTTTACCACTCACACCTGACCAGACCGTAGAATAACTCAATGTACCATAAAATAACTGCAAATGACAAACACCGTGGTGCACGGTAATTGAAACTTTAAGTAAGGCTTGCTATCAAATTGCTGTTAAACGTGAGAACAGTGCAGAAACGGCGCACATTGCAGAATTTTACGTTCCAGAGAATAATATGATTCCTGCCCCCATTTGGACCCATTTCAAGTTTTGTAACGGATCCTCTGGCACTTTTATTTTAATAGCGTTTACTTCGATTCACTACAACGATTTCTGCCGTAGCATTTTCTTAAACTCTGACCGGGCATTCACAGCAAAATGGTTTATCATGAATGTCTGTCCCGTCTCAAAATGCATTTCGTTTTCTTCCTGGAAGTCGTAACAGTTATTGGCTCGGCTGTCAAAAATAAGGAGTTAGCATATCCAAAATTACCGGGTAAGCAAAGATAAAAAGCTCCTAAATTTCCGGTAGCAATAAACATAGATTATTTTTTGTTTGCCCCTCAACAAGTATTATCTTTCTAGGTCAAGAACCTTATTTGAACAACCAATATTCGATCTGTTAAGTAGTTTTAAGCCAATGATAAGTGGAAGGGGGAAAATTATGCTCTAAATCTATTATAGCTTTGGATGCATCTATCATCATTCATTCATTTTAGGGTTGGTACATTTTCATCAAGTCTTGATCTTTCTTAGAAAAACAATTATAAAAATGATATAACCCAGTCGGGTCATTCCAAGGATATTTTAACCTAAATTCAAACAGCAGGGTAAACACCACTAAAGATTTTGTTCAAGATATGTCATTTCTACAAAAAAAAGAAAATTTCATATCATTCTATTAAACGATTTTCAACAGGTTTTTTTTTCAAAATTTTAAAAACTTACACTAAATAATGTAACATATGCGCAGCACAGTGCATTGGTATGGCTACAGTTAATGTGTTCAAAAAGGCAGTCCGAGGTGTCACTTTTTAGTATACTAACTTAAGTGCAAAATGATAAATGCTCCAACCATCACAACCATTTTGCCTTCACCACTTTATAATATTACAATATGGAAACTTGATCTGTTCTAAAATCATCACTTGAAAAACAAAACATCATCTAAATAGTTATTTAAGATACGCTAATATACCTAAGACTTTGGTAAATGGTTAAACTCTGTAGCCAAGACTTTGTAAAAATATTAACTTGCTTGGAAAAAAAATTATCACCATTTAAAACAATTGACTATTTTGATACAGTTAAAGTTGGACAATTACACGGTTTCACTTAAAACAGCTTCTTATTGTTTTTCTCATAACATCAAGTATGGCATTTCTGCAGGAGTTGAAGTTTAAATACAACATGTGGCTTTATGCAATTTATTCATAAATGACACCAGAGCTGAATAATTTAGAATGTGTTTGAATTTAGGTTGCATTTGAAATATGTTATTCCGGGATGAAAAAAAATTGTGCAGGACTCAAATGGTGGTATCCTGTCTGACGCTTCCTTTTTATACATATCTCAAGACCGTCTGCACCATGTCAAACCGAAGTAGAATTAAGCGATAGTTAAACTTCTTGCTCTGCATCCTAGTCATTACGGTCTGTCATGCTTGTTTTTCTTGAACCAATTTATCCATCATTTTCTCTACATAATTCTTAACAGTAATTGGCTTTTTTGCCGTGATAAATGTGTAAAAGAAGCATTAATGTTATATAACTTTGCGTTTCTATTTTATAACCTATCTAATTTCATAATCTACCATAATTTGTAAATATTTAAGAAGTGAAATTACAAATTATATTTAACAGAACTGATTTATACCTGTGAAGTGCGTTGTGTTTATCTACACCTGAATTATGATAACAAACAAATGAAGTATGACAACAGCGGTACAAAAGTCCTTTTGCTTTGAAAATGTGTATACTTCACAGTGTCAAAAATAGAATATAGCTTTATCAGTTCCGTACAGTCATTAGGTATGTATTAAATAATCACCTTCGGGATTATCAAACTCTATAATTGCAGACGATTCTTTGGAATCCAATATAACGCTTACAACACTGAAGTCAATTTCCATATCTTGTTGTTCAAAAAGCATCTGTAAGTACAGTTCTGTAATATCATCTGGTAGTTTGGAAACAAGCATTCTTTTAGTCTCTTCAGAAGTAACATTGTCTTCCATAAACAGAGAAACGCTCAAAGTATGTCCGTCAAATACATGATCTGTTTTGGCAGCAACCCGTTTAGCAGCTTCAATCAAAACGATAAAAATATGTGATACTAATGTGAACCTACATATAAACAAGAGGACCCAGAGTGCCCTGGATCGCTCATCTGGGCAAAGTGGAGCCCCTTTACACCTCATAAAAAATAGCAAAAATTTAAACATTGCGAAAGATACCGGATTACAGTACATATAATGAAAATCAATGATCCCTGGGGAGGGGTCAATTTTGACCCTAGGGGTTTTATTCAACAAACACGGTAAACATACACTTTAAATGTTTCAAGCCAAATATCGAAGCCCAACTTGGATTTTGATAAGAAGATTTTTTAGGTTTTACTATATACATTTTAGGAAAACCAATGACCCCTAGGGCGGGGCCAATTTTGACCCTAGGGCTTTTATTCGAACAAACTTGGTAGACATCTACTTAAAGATATTTCATGCCAAATATCTAAGCTCTAGTTTTTTTACTTTTTTACAAGAAGATTTTTTTAAGTTCTTAATGGAATTTAATTCTTTGTTTGGTAGAGCTTTAAGCAAGGAACATCCCTGCAAAGATTCAGAAAATTTAGCCATGTGGCTTAAGAGGAGAAATTGTTTAAAACTTCGTTGACGCACACACAGACGAACGCACGGACGATGGACGGATATTGCGTCATAACAAAAGCTCAACGTCAGGACATTGTCCTCAGGTGAGCTAATTATTACCCATTTATTTTTACAGATGTATGAAATATCATATAACTACACTCTTTACATTGACCTTTGATAATTTACTTAGTTAAATGCAAAAAAGCTTATTAATATCTTGTTTAAGCGCAAAAAAAAACAAATGCTTGATAGGATAAAAAGATTTTCTGAATCAAATCATAAACCATTACATTAAAATGAAAACAAAAATTATTTGATCTCATTATCTCTTAAAGTCTTTTAGTAAAAATGACAAACCTTCTTCATTGTGGTAAGTGAAAAACGCTACATTTTTATTTTGATCTACCCATCTATCAACAATCTGTGCATTGCCTTTTGACCTCTTGCCTTTTAAGTACATTTCAAGAAGTTCAAGTTGTTCATCAATTCCTGGCAACCCAGAAACTGCTATTGTACACGAATAAACTGTCCTTGGTATGAATCGTTCAACGGATACTTCAACACCTTTCATACAAAGTGTGCGTCTTTCACACAAAAGTTTTGCAACTGAAATTAAGGCACATGTTTTAGTGAAGTTGTTCAGAATTATTCTCTTTCTTTTTTTTTCAGAAAAAAATACAATGTAGTTCCATTTAAAGAGAAACTGTAACGACATTTGTTTGAACATATTTACCAAATACTTTATATTTATGTTATACCTTTAGGATTGTCTAATGCAATAACTGCAAAATCATCTCCAGGCTGAAGTAACACATTTACAACATTGAATTCTGCAATTTCTTCTGCAATATCCAGATCCTCGAGGAATAGCTTCAGGTAAGTTTCTGTCACTTGTTTTGGTACATTTTGGAGTTTTATTTCAGTAAAGATCTCCATTTGTTCTTGTTCATTTGAAGTATCTTTTCTTATCGTATCTGTACATAAACGCACTTCCAACTTTTGTTTTCCCAATCTGTGTTGCCCCTTTTTGACTACGTTTTTTGCAACTACAATTTAAATATAAAGATCAGGAAGCGAGCTTTTACGTACGCTTTAAATGGCTGTGAAGGAATGGTCAGCTGCACACTGCATATCTTGAGAACAACCGAATGAAATGCTTCGTAGACGAATGTCTGTAAAGATCAGCGCAGTTTTTGAAATCTGGGACACAAAGTAATTATAAAAAGTTATTTTGTGTCCCAGTTGAAATTAAAGGAGAAACGTTACGACACGAAAAGTACTAGTAGTACTTATTTTAAACTGTAACAGGGCGGGTTCTCTTTAGTCAATATTGTTATGTGCCAGGAATGCGATATTATTTGTCTTATTTATATCTAGACAGTGTTGCTCGTAATGTTTTATCACAATGTTTGAACATTTATTTATTATATCCCGATTAATAGATATATTAAAACTTTTAATAAGCAAATGAACAAATGATAAGACATCAAATTTGAGCATAAACGTAGTATAAAAGCATGAAAGGCATCAAACCCGTTACAAAATCTAACCAGAATAAAACAGCTCCCGTGGGACCTCGCTTTATTATATAAAAGGCGACTACTTAAGTTTTTGAAACAAGAATGATGTCCGCATAGCACTATCCAAGTCATCACAGTAGAAAAATACAAAGCTTTCAAAGATAAATTTCTTCAAAACGAATTTGTTTCTTAGTTTCTAAAATTAAACGAATAGAAAGATTTAAAAATTTAGATTTCATTTAAAGAAAATGTAAATAACAATGTTGTGCAACACAGCCAGAAATTTAAAATTTGTCATGAAGTATAAAGCTTGTGAATGAAAATTTTTTTTTATGTATTTGTATCTTTATTGACGGCTCGCAAAAAAATCGTGTCATTCCGCTGTAAATCATGCGCCTTATTCAAAAACATTTGAATCTTCCCCTTTCAGTATTAGAAAAACCACTTCCGAGGTGAAGTTTATATGTGAGAGACTAGATATAATACCAACACAATATTGTGAAAATGTCATTTTATTTTAAATGACGAAAATAAAATATGCATATGAAAATAGTTATCAAATGAACAGTTTCAAATAATGTAGGCTCCACACATAGGTGGGTAACATAAAACCGCCAAAAGCAACAGGTGTCCCTCAAAATACTAATCTTAATCTTTTTCCAGGGGGCGACTCAAACACATTTATCTACGTTAAATATCCTATAATACTCGGCTGCTACGCTGCCGAATAATAAAACTCTTGCTTTTAGATGCAATGTTTACATTAACATAATTTATAAAGTTTATGATTATATTTATTATTCAGATCTCTTGAAAAAGCTCTATTTGTCAAAAATATCTATTAAGATTACGCATTATAATGATAACTTAAAACAAATTCAAAGAATTGTTTGTTTCAAGATACACCGACACTGTAAAGGTCATATGGCAACTTTCTGACAGGGTTAAAATTTTATTGGTTTATTGTTGACATTTTTAACCACTCAGCAAATGTTAACTCTGGCACCGTTGTTAAAGTTTATGACAGTGAAATAAAATGTAAAAATAAATTTGAATCAAAACTTATACCGTCTTCTTCTTCGTAGGTGAAAAATGCTGTATTTGTTTTCTTTTCTACCCAGCTGTCAATAATTTTGGAGTTTCCTCCCGATTTTCTGTTTTTGAAATAAAGCTCCAGTTTATCCATGTACTGTTGAATATTCTCTGGTCCTTGTACAGATATTGTGCACATTTTAATCGGTTTCCATTTCTCAATTATCAATTCGGTACCTTTTATGTTTAAAGGCTTTTTGTCCATAACTATTTCTACCGCTTAAATAAGGGTAAATGAATTCTTAAAAATACATTTCAGTAAACATTTTGAGTCATTAAAAACCGCAAGACTTTCAGCAAAAAAATAATATACAAGCAATTCAGTGGATAATTTAATTACTATTACTTTTATTTATTATTTAATGGTATAAACTCTAATTAGCAATTTTCTAAAACGGTTCAATGTGATTAAAATAAATTTCATATTATATTACTATTAGAATATTGAGAACATATGTAGACAATAGAGAAACAAATTGTATATGTCAAAGTAAATTGTAAATGGTATAACAGCACATATGGTTTCACATGTACCAGTTTGATGACTTTATCATGATACGACATAGAATCATGTCGTTGAAAAGCAATTTTATTTAATGATCTACATAAACTTGACTTTTGAAAATGATGTACCTTTTAAAGATGAAAATTCAATAGTAGCTCTTCTACTTTCAACACAAAGTGATAACTCTTTCACTTCTATGTCATCATCTAAGTTTTCAAAGAAATAGATCAAGTCCTCCTTGTCAATTTCTGTTGGGATCCCTATGACATTTATTGTGTTCAGAGACTTATCTGATGATGGATGTACACTTTGTATGTCAACTTTATTCATTTCTCTCAAGTAAACGTCAAGTGGGTGTTTTTTAAACGCATGACTTTTGCGTAGAACTCTTCTTGCCACTGTTTAAAATGTTAACCATAGTTTTTTTATTCATGAAGTAATTTTAATGTAACTAACCCACCCGAGATGCTTTCAATATTTTGGAAAGTATTTTACATTATCACAACGAATAAGATGTTATTTAAGTAGCTTAAGTAATACTTAAAACATTTCAAATGTATATTTGTTTGACATACTGACCTGAGACGTTTTATTGTTCATTGACTATCGGTAATTATCCGACTCCGAGGTAAATCATACGGATTTAAAATATAGCATAATGGTATACATGGTTTAGACGTGTAGGTTTGAACCCTAATGAAACATTTTTTATGTTTCCTTTTTATTATTTTTTTGAAAACTTCACAAATATGTTTTTGTTCATGCAAATCACCTAGTGCACGGCTTTATATAATGAAAATATGAAACATTACATATTCTTAAATTCTGAAAATAAAAGACATAAGAAGCAAAGCAAATATGCTGCATATAAATTTTAAAGAAGAGGGCCATGGTGACCCTAATATCGCTCACCTAATTGTTAAGGCTCTGAATCAATATTGTTAGCAATTAATCAAAGGCAGATATAACACCATAAGATTAAGCTGATATCATAACATTCATATCTGCTCCTGAAATAGTGCAAATATTTAAAAGGTTTTACTATATAATGCTTTTATTTTTCCTGTGACCTTTTTTTATCTCAAATGACCCATATTCAAAACTGAATTAGAAATCATACAAGTAACCTTTGTGACCAATTTCCATGATATTTTGGCTTAAAATTTATCATCTTAAGTGATAGCAAATTATTTCCATTTTTGGTCTGTGTGAAGTCGATATTGACCATATATAACCCATGTTCAAAGCTGAGCTAAGAATCATCAAAACAACCTTTCTGACAAATTTTCAGAATATTTCGGATGAAAATATTACCTTTCGAATGAAAACAATATATTTATATAATTTGGGTTGTGTGACCTGGTTTATTACCACAGATGACCCATATTCAAACATGGTCTAGAAACTATCTTAACAGCCTTTCTGACTAATTTCCAGGATGTTTGAAACTAAACAGTATCCTTTACAGTGTAAGCAAGGTTCCCCATATTTGGGCTGTAGGACCTAGTTTTTGACTACAGATAAACTATATTTGAATTTCAGCTAGAAATACAAACGACCTATCTGACCAATTTTGGGATATTTGGACCAAAACAGTAGCCATAAAAGTGTAAACGATGTTTTAATATTTGGGCTGTTAGACCTGCTTTTTGACACAAGATGACCCATATTCAAACTTTAGCTAAAAATCATCGAAATAACATTTTTGACCAATATTTGGACCAAACAATAGCCTCTAGAGTGTTAGCTGGGTGTTTCCATTTTTGGTCAGTGTGACTTAGTTTTCAAACCCAGATGACACATGTTCGAAACTGTCCTAGAAATAATCAAAACAGCCTTTCTGGCCAGGATATTTTAACTGAAACAGTAGTCCCTAAAATGTTTTTTTGCAAATTGGAAACATACGGCCCCCACCATCTGAAAACCGCCGGCTTCCAAAATATTTATTCAAAATTTTGAAACTAGAAGTAAATTTTGAACATTTTTGTTGGAGGACATATAAATGATATCACTTACCAAATATCAAAGCTATATATAAAGCTAAATATAAAGTATATTCTTTACGTACATAATGAAAATCAATGAATCATTGGCAGGGCCTATTTTGACCATAGGACAGTAATTTGCTCAATTTTCGTAGAGATTTATTACACAATGCGTCATGCCTCTAGCCTTATTTAATTCAGAGAAAATAATTTTTAAGTTTTTACTACATACATATTAGGAAAATCAATGTCCGCTGGGCACGGCCAATTTTGATCCATGACCTATAATTTGTACTTTTTTTGAAGAAATTCGTAAGATGATACTACACATAAAATATCTAAGCTCTAGGCCTTGACTCAGAGGTGATTTTTAAAGATTTCATTTTAAAAATCTATTTTTTGACATTTTGACCCAGATGTTCAATAGAGGAGAACCATTTGAATCATTTTAGTAGAGCTTCATGCTAGGAACATGACACGCAAATTTCATCAAATATGGCCCAGTGGTTTCTGAGAAATCGTTTGTAAAGAAAGTTGACGACGGACGCACTGACGGACGACGGAGGATTGACGCTGTCACAAAAGCTCAGCTTGAGCACTTGTTCTCAGGTGAGCTAAAATAGTAATAGAAATCTGAAACGAATTGTGAATCCAAGCTGGCAACTTTGGGATTGCAATTCCATCTTATCTGTCACGAGGATATCAGGCCGTTATTATGTATATATAATTATCATAGGTTTATTGTAATAAATTACTTAAATTTACGAAAAACTTCCCGAAACTTAAATCAGTCTCTGATCAATATTTCCAAACAATACATCTTAGATTTTAAATAGACACTTGATTGATCAATTATAAATACCTTCTTCGGAGACATAAGTGAAACAAACTAATCCAGGACGTATGGAGCAATCAATAATTTCACCACCACCTGAAAACCGCTGGCTTCCAAAATATTTTTTCAACATTTTGAAGTTTGTGTCTGAGATGATATGTGTTGGCCCATGAACTTCTATTACATTCCATACTGGCTTGCACACTTTTTCAGGTAGATAGGCTTGTATTTCTATTTCATAATCTTCCATTCTTAACGACGGTTCATTCAGTACCTTTTTGGCAGCTTTTACAATTAAAAAATAAGCTGAATATGAAAAAACATAACTCTTCGCTTGAGATATATTGCTTTTAAACAGAAGTTGAAAACTTTTAATAACAAAACCTAATTGTAGAATATTAAGAACCATAATCAAAGCGTAAAAATACGTAAAAACAAGAATGCCCCCTATCATATCTTGTTAAAAACACAAAATGTTAGAATAGATATTGCAATAAAGGTACATATCTTCTATTCATATAAGTTAAATATATGTACTTCGATCTATATTGTTGTCCATGAATAATTTTAATTGAATTAAGTGATTTATTAATCGGAAACAGTTTTCACATTCAATGTATGTCATTATAATCCTGACCTTAAGGCACCGGTGCCCAAAATAATAAGGGTTTCTACTTAATCAGGGTTGTCATCCTATGGAAGATGAAGGCTATTAGTCAAATAATTTTTCAATTTATTGATCGGAAATGGTTCTCCAATTGATTGTCAATGTGACCAAGAACAATATCAAACGATAGAGGTCTTCTACTTACAATGCCAATTATAGAAGAATACATTAATAAGGATGATCATCCTTTAAAGTTTGAAATTTATGGGTGAAATTGTTCTCTAGGTATTATGTGGAAATAAACTGATCTGCCAACTGACAATTGCCAATTATATTAAACCTCATTTTCTTTTAAAAGAACATGATAAAACATTGATACAAAAATAATTCACAAACATTTATTTCATATTTACATAATTAGCATGTCTAAATCGACACAAGAGGCATGTCTTTCTATGTTACAGACCCGTTCTTTGCTCAGTTTGTAAGGTCGTTGACTTCAAAGTACGTGCCCTTCACCAATGTGGGTTCCATTTCAGCCAGGGACTTTGACTCACGTTCATGTGAAAAAGCTATCCGGGTAGTATACGGAAGGTCGGTGGACCTACTCAGGTACCCGTTCGTGCATGAAAGGGCACCTTAAATCATTCTCAAACAGAAAAGCCAAAAAGTTTTTTTCCGTGTCAGTGTGCTTAAACCCCAACGAAACGAACAAACAAAATCGTAATAATACACTTAAGAGAACAAAAAAGGCAAATCAAAGTTACTTACATTTACATACGACCTTGCAAATAAGTAAGGGAAATATTATAAGTAAAACAAAAATACTAAAATGAATCAAAAAATTACCTTTTTTGTCTTTGAACTCGACAATAGCAGACGTATGATCGTCATTAAATGTTACCAATACTACCTCTAAACCTTCGCCAAATATTTCTTCATCGTCAAAATAGAGTTCTATATACTGGGCGTCAATCGATTCTGGAAGATTTGATAAAACTATTGAAGTCTGCTCAAGCTCACTTTCAACGATTTTGTCTGTTGGTGGGTTGTACAAGTTTACTGTCAATTCATTACCACTTAAACAATGGCTTTCTTTTTCAACAACTCTTTTTGCAACTGAAAACAAGTAATGAACATAATCAATTCAGACATGGTTTGAAGATATCTAGCTTTTTATATAAAACTAAAAAAAAATGAATGCATGTAGAGTCGCATATGCACACAATGATTGAACAATTTACATGTATACGTTTCTGTTACTTTTGTGTCATAAATATTATTTTAATTTAAAATAAAGACATTTTCTACTCAAAGCATTTCTTCTTATACGTATTAATTCTTATTTTTACCTTCTTCAGCTTCGAATTGAATTAAAACCTTCTTTGACTCAAACTTTATTTCAGAAATCTTTCCTCCGTCAGAATGTCTAGGATTTTTGAAGTACATCGTTAAAAGTGATTTGTTTCTTTCGGAAATGATACTGGAATTTGGTGGTCCTATGACCTCAATGGTGCGCAAAGAAACGGATGTTGGCTCTTTAGTTAATACATTTGTATAATCTTCAACCGACACCATTGTATCGTCCATATCTAGTGGCGCCATTTCCTTGATTTTCTCTAAATCTATAGAAAATTCTTAGTTAAATGTAAAAGCTCAACAATCCCTGACTGACTATTTATTCAAACAAAAGCGTGCCGAGGACAGAAAATGTAGCTGGCATATGGGTTACAAAAAAATATCAAAACTGACCAAAAATAGATTAAATTTATGATTGAAGAAGCATTTTAAAACATTATTGACCATATCGTGTATGGATTGCTATTCAATAAACCGTCATCTGTAATAAAAAATTATGAAATCGACAACGATACCACTTCTATTATCTCGACTCTTTGTCTGGTATTTCGTCAGAAATAGGGGTTAAGCATATGATCTCAGTGTAATAAATACTTGCTTTAAATGTGTAAATGATAAAAAAAATCAGGAGGTACGAATTTCCCCTATAATGTGTTTTTCTTGTTAGATTGTATCTAAAATGCTAGTTATACTTGATTTCTTAACGCAGTTAATGTCCGATGACACATATCATGATTAAACCTAATTTAATTCAGTTGTGGATCTGACAACGATTCATTTCGTCTTTAGACTATCTCTATCATCTAAATTAAAATTATGTTCACTTTTGCCAAACATCATTAAAGTAAGAGAAAAGGAAAATAATAATACTGTTAATGAATAAGGTTTAATATAACATTTGTTTAGTATTTTTCTTGTACTTTGACATTCAAAATATAAAAAAAATCTATAAGATGATAACAAATCTCAATATTAACTTTTTATTTATGTATTTATGTCTAACATATGGATTTATGTGCTACTTAAATAGTTTATCGTTGTCAAATTATTTCCAAACAATTTATCAAAATTCAAAATTCAAACACATGCATTTTGTAGAAATTTGGTTTGGTTTGTTTTCTTAAATGATGCGGAGACCTATTGTAATTTGTCTAAGCTTAATGAGTATGTCATGAATGACGGGAACACGCTTTCCTGGAGAAGTAATCAAATAAGCTATTTAAGGAATTGCATATCCACGAAAATCAAACAGCAAATATTTCTTTACTACCTGCTACAACTGCCAAGATAGTTATTGTGTTGAATGCCCTTTATACTTTATACTATCGGTTGACCTTAATGTCATCGTGATATATAAAAAGAGATGTGCAAACTCCACATATTTCTTATTTTTTCTACAACATAAGTTATTGTATTTCTACTGCAATCTTTATTAAATATTTCATTCGACTAACACAGATCAAAATAATAAACGATATTCAAAATTTATCTTACCTTCCTCGCTTTCGAGATAAATAACAGCTGATGTTTCATTTGTTTCCAGAGAAACTTTACGAACATTACAACCTCCAAACATTTCATCGTCATCGAAATACAAATCTAAGTATTGTTGATTTGTATCTGGTGGCAGGCCTCGTATTCTTAATTTGTATTGTGGTTCATCTGTGTCTGAGTCTGAGACGTCTAAATAAATATATTATTTGAAATTTAAAAAAACACCCTAAATTAATTATATAGTCCGCCCAAGATAATGTAATAGAGTTTTGGTTTAAACGTTTTACTGAACTATTTTTACAGAGAGCTATCTGGAACATGCTGTGCGTTGGAAAAAAAACCCTGACAACATGAGCGCATTACCACAAATCCCCGAAAAGTGAGCATATAGTCGCCGCTTTTTCCGTCCGCCCGGTTGTCCGTCCGTCTTTCTGCTTTTCTTGTCTGGGACATAACTTTGTAACAACAAGAGGTATCAACATAAAACTTTGTAGGTACATAGATCTCATTTGGTAGATGTGCAGTGCATAAAAACTGTTACTCTGCCTTGCCTAAGTTTGGAGTTATTGTCCTTTGTTTGTTTTTATGACTTTTTGAACTTCGTTCGAGAGATAACTCTAAAACTATAAGAATAATCAACATGAACCTTTGTAGGTAGATAGATCTCATAAGGTTAAAGTGCAGTAAAAAGAACCATAACTCTGTCTTGTCTTATTTTAGAGTTATTGCCCTTTGTTCATTTTACTTTGAATTTTATCCAGGACATAGTTATTGCCTTTTGTTTAAATTTACATTTGAACTTTGTCCGGGACATAACACTATAAGAGATATGAACAAGAAACTGTGTAGATTGATATCATTGGGTATATGAGCAGTGCAAAGAACAGTAACTCTGTCTTGCCTAAGTTTGGAATTATTGAACTTTGAACTTTGTCCGGGACATAACTCTGAACCACAAGAGTTATACTTTTCTGTGACCAAAACCTTTTCGGGGAGCATCACTCGATTCAACCGGTTCTTGTTTAGGGAGTTTCTGTGACCAGTTACCGATTTAGTTATCGATACTCATTAAGCCGCCATTGTGTACATTAATGCGGATTTATATAATTTATTAGCCATATTCTTAGTGTATAAATTTAGAAAAAGGATCTCTTGGAACAGAATTATAATTTAGTCAGAAAAAAATATTCTCTAAGGCCTTATTTTGAAATAGAAATTTAAAAAAGAAATAACTTTAATAATTGGAAACGTTTTAGCGCAATCTCGTTTAAAATCATAATATGTGAGCTGTTAACTGGAAAAATACTCTCAGAAAACCCGTTTCTGCCTCCAACCTGTAAAAGACTGACTGAAATATCGCGTTGCATGATAGACCGCCTGGTTTGGTTGTTTGTTTTTTAATGTGTATGTGATAATTTATGTAATTGTCAGATGCTTTGATTAAAAAATAAATTGCAATTTTCTACTGACATACTTAAAAATTCTTAAAATATAGTATGTAAAATTATCAGCTTTATTTTCATGCTTTTAAAATATAAATATGCATATTCTTAGACTATAAAAATATCGAGTATTTTTCCAGATATTATTTACTCAATGCTTTATATAGTTTCTTCTTATAATAAAATCAATTTTAACAGAGATACATTTTCAGAATGACTGTTGTCAATATTCGTTTACTAAAACTACATTTTTTCAGTAAAAAACCTTTTTACTTCTCAACAACAGCATACATTCATTAATTTTTAATATTGTTAAAATATCAATCTACTTATAATACTTATAACTTTTCAATATAGCTATATTATTCTCCAATGATGATACATTACTAACTTAATGAAAAGAGATCTAAAACTAATTTTGAATTCGTTTAAAAACTTTCTTAGTTGTCTTTATTCCTAAGGTTTATCACACATTAGTGGAGAAACTGTGAAAATGATGGTTAGAACACATGTTAAGGATTTCACTGTTTACTGCCGTTTAGTTCCAATGATGTTTGTTTAAAAAAGTTACGACATGTTTTAAACCGAATGGGTATTTCATAGCAAATTTAAAGATTTTGGCATATTTGGATATCACAAAACAGTTTTGGATACAGTTAGTTATATATCAAGGACAAATGTGTAATCAAGAGCATGTCTGATATTTTTCTGTTAATACACATCTCGAACATTTTACAAAAATAATTTTAAGGCTGTATTTTATATTTTTGATTACAGGGTAAAACATTCAAAACGAAGTGTAGCTTCAGTTAAGCTTTAACTCCAAAAAAGTACGCGCCAGTTATAAAACCGAACAAGGTTTGATTTTTTTTTCAAAACTTTTTGACATTCTAAAGTCACTCTTCTAATAAAACTGTCTATCCTCTGTTGTCATTTTCATCCATTCCAATGTAAAACTTTTTTTAGTTTTAAATATTTTTTCAGTATTCGTGTCAAACACACATAGATGCCACCAATCACTTTTATGTAATTATATCTTTTGTACTTTCTAATTTTTTCAATCTTTACACCCGACAACAATTTTCATCTCTTGTATAAAATTTATGGACAAATGGTTCTGCAAAACTCAAACTATAAAGAAATCAGTTTGTATCTATTGTATCTATTTTTTTTGCTTCTTCTTTCGTTGAAAGTTCATTTGTACATAAAGTTTGGTTGAATTAAGTCATTGTTTAGTTATATCAACAGTAAAGATTGTCTTAATTTAAAGTGTCTTTTTGTACGCTTTTCGATAAATGTTGTCATGTTGTATGAAAGTGATTTTTTAATTGTTTAAAGGACAAACATAACCGAACGGGTTGTAAAATTTGTTCTTCTCGCGATGTGGACAACACTGTGTATATCTATATAATATGTCAAATAAGAAATTCATATTGTTTAATTCTTTAATCCTGCATTCATTCAATATCAAAATTGAAATTGTGTTAAAATGTGGTGATAACAGCAGATGGAAAAAAAATAATATATTGAACTTGATCCTTGGGGAGTGGGGGCGGTATATATATATATATATAATCCAGGTTTTTCTTTAAATATCTCACTCCTAACTTTACTTTTTAACCTGAAACATATTTTCTATATTCAGTTACAGTGACCTTGACTTTGTTAGGGATTCTGTTTTCCCTATTTCATTGTCATATCAGAGTTATTTGTGCCTTGTTGACGCCGTTAAAAGTCGCCTCGAACATAAAATCAAAGATGATATATTTCTTAGCATTGAAGGTTCAGCCCGACATTACTGTTGTATGTACATGTATGTGGTTTTTTAGTTCTATTATATTTGACATTTTTTCATCTTGGATGGTTGCAGTATTCAAACCTAAATTCTGTATAATAACCCTTAGGGTATGTTGCACGCTTTTTAAATGTGTCTTTTGACGTCTTGATTGTGATATACAGGCTTAATTACCTCAGACCCCCTTCCAAAATTATTTTTTTAGTTCCGCCTATTGTTTTCTCGTTTAGGACACGCGTATTTTTCAATTGAGGACCATGTGCCGCTTTTCATGGAATAACGCTAACGTGTCAAAATGAAGGTTCCATGACGACCACCGTATGAACGCATCTGCGGGTGTTTCTGGATTCAAAGTAACATTTCCGTGTTTAAAGGATGAATTCTGCTTAAGCCGGTGCTAGCGTGCGTGGGCGGTAAATGCACTTTCCAGTAACGGCCATGAAAAAACTCAGTCAAACCGAGCCTTCAACATCTACAATTTTGTCGTTTTGGGCGTTCTTTAGGGATTCTGATTTTCTCTCTTCGACTTTGATCCTATGGGGCTCAAAATCAAACCAAAATGAAGATTTCAAATAGAAAAACAACAAAAAATTCTAATTCCTAAGTCAGAACAGGACACTATATGAACTTTATAAAATCCGCTAAGTCGATTTAACGTAGCTTAATCCACTTTAACTATACAGCGTTTTAATTATAACACGAACTTGTAGTGGCGACACTCTTTGGTTAAAGGCAGAATATGTCTTTGATCACTGGCTAACAGCAACACACTTTCTTAAAAATTTCTACGCGGGAATCTATAAGTCTTACTACCAGTAAAATATCCGTAAGCTACTTATACTAAAGAAACTCGATAATCCTTTAGATACATACGAACTGATGTGTAGGAAATTTTTAAATCTACTGCTGAATATTTCCGAAAATACTTATAACCATAATTTCAGAAGTTTTGTACCAGTTTATCTGTTTAATGTTTTTTTGTTGTTTTTTTTTTTTTTTTTTTTTGGGGGGGGGGGGGTTCATTTAGAAAGTATTTGGCTAATTTTAATCAGAATTACCAAAGTGAAACCCAATTGACAGCTTTATTTTGAATAAATTATAATATAAAAAATAATAGATTTAACCACAAACAATGGCATGTGCTCTTTTGTTAACAAATATGCTGTGGTGAAATTCTGATTGTATCTGCTATTCTGATAATTAGAATTAGGCAGGTCAGAGATCTATGCATACCGTTAAAACTTAGAGAAATACTTCTCTACTAATAGCATCATATAAAAATAAAAACGTCTTTGAAGATCCAGTTGATTCAATTGTTCAAACGTAAATTGCCTAAGTTCAAAAAGACATTAAAGGGAGAAAAATGCGAAACTGATTACTACAACATAGGGGAAACCCGAATTTGGTCTCTAACATTTGCATATCACTTCATTTCAGGATAACACGTTCTCAAATCATCTGTAGGCATAAGATTGTTTAGTCACATGTATACTCTCTTTGCTAAATATACGTACTTTAATTAATTTTAAAAATCGATTTAATGTTTTAATACATTATCTCGCTTTCATTAATCTAACACATAAATCGTTTTTAAATATAAGATGTTCATTTTATGTTACATTTACTTTGAACGGCATATCAGCCGGCGTCACCATGCATTTGTACTTTGAATTGATTATTCATATGTAACATTTTGAAAACTAACCTGCTTTCGTTGCAACACTTAAACCATCATGGTGACTTTCAAATTCATTCAAACCGAGGTCTTCATGCTAAAATTGATTAAACAGAAACGCAAATATAATTAACATTATTTCATTATGTATCTAAATATCTACATTCATTAAGTATCAAAAAACCTGAATATCGCTAAAGGCTAATCCTATGGATGCTTAACGCCCCTGCACATTTGTCAAAGTATGTAGTGTAAGTTAATAAAAGCTGTAAGAGAAGAAGGCTGTAAGAGCAGAAGTGTTAAAATCTTTTTTACGGTGTCCTTATGTGCCATTTATTATGTCGTCCGTCGCGTTTAAGGGGCGTCGCACGACAATGCGAAGTGACATAGCGACAATGCGATACGACGCTCGACAATGCGAAGCGACGCTCGACATTTTCAAACGAAATATCGGGATGTCGTTTAGTAATATTATGTTAAAAAAGTGTGACATTTAAAAAATGTCCTTTCGCGTTGTCGAGTGTCGCTTCGTATTGTCGAGCGTCACTTCGCGTTGTCACATTGTCACTTCGCATTGTCGTATTGTCGCTTTGCGTTGTTGCATTGTCGCTTCGCATTGTTGTATTGTCGCTTCGCGTTGCTGAGTGTCGGTGTGAGCAGAAATACAGTAAATGACACGCGACAATGCGATATGACGCTTCACAATGTGATACGACACTTGACAACACAAAGCGATATTTTATAAAATGTCGCGATCAGTTTCTGACTTTTACACTGCGACACCCAACAATGCGAAGAGACACACGACAATACAAAGCGACACTCAACAAAGCGAAGCGATACTCGACAATGCGAAGCGACACTCGACAATGCGAAGCGACATTTTGACTTTAGACTATAATATCGTATGGAATTGTCTTGCGTCTACCGGTGACAGATCAAAATTTAATACCACACCGGCAAGCGGTGCGATGTTAATTTGTTATAACAAGCGGCATGTCATCGTCAGAAGGTTATTTATTTTCCTTTCTGTATCATCTTGAATTGCACCGCTTGCCGGTGTGGTATTAAATTTTGACCTGTCACCGGTAGACGCAAGACAATACGATAAGATATTAGTCAAAATGTCGCTTCGCATTGTCGAGTGTCGCTTCGCATTGTCGAGTATCGCTTCGCATTGTCGAGTGTCACTTCGTATTGTCATGTGTCACTTGGCACTGTCGGGTGTCACAGTGTAAAAGTCAGAAAAAGATCACGACATTTTATAAAATATCGCTTCGTGTTGTCAAGTGTCGTATCGCATTGTCAAGCGTCGTATCGCATTGTCACATGTCAAGGTCTGTATTTCTGCTCACCCAGAAACTCAACAATGCGACAACGAAAAGTGACAATGGGACAACGCTATAAGTGACAATGCGACAACGCGAAGTGACATTTTTTAAATGTCGCCCTTTTTTAACATAATATTATTAAACGACATCGCGATATTTCGTTTGACAATGTCGAGCGCCGCTTCGCGTTGTCGAGTGTCGCTTCAAATTGTCGAGCGTCATATCGCATTGTCGTTATGTCATTTTGCATTGTTGTGCGTCGACCCTTAAATGCGCTGGACGACATAATAAATGGCACGATAAGGACACCGTAATTTTTGCACCAATGACGGGGACTCCCGTAATCCTTAACTCCACCCAAAGTTAGATGACAGCCCAAGGTATCTACCCAAATATGAGAGATTTCAATAAATAAATAAATAAATAAATAAATAAATAAAGGTTGCGTGTGCAAAATTTGTAAAAACATTGTCAGTCTGGTACCTTGAGCTTGAAGTGACCAGTTCTCCTTCACCCAAAGTTATAGTACGACCCAAAATATTTTCCTTCTGAATAAGAAAGAGCCAACCAGGCTGTATCAGCAAAAGTATAGAAATCAATTTTACAACCAATGACCTAGACCTTTAACTGTCGGACCTGTGCAGTTACTTCACAAAGAATATAGGATCATCAAAGTATCTTCATGCTAAATATGAGAATCAGCAAATAAATAAAAGCTGTATGAGCAAAAGTGTAAAAATCTATTTTAAGAATCAGTTATTTTGATCTTAACCAAAAGAACCAAAGTTAAAAGACTATACGAGGTTTGTTCCTACCTAATTCTACAGACATCGGTCAATGGATTTAAGTTAAACATATTAACCAAAAAGTGTAACAAGCATTATTAAGTTTGATAAAGGAAGATAAAACTTCAAACAAAGTAGCATTGTATACTCAATTGCAAATGAAAGTGTGCACTAGATTACAGGGAAAATCTATATATTTTTTCAAGCATATTGTTCTATAAAAATGTAAAAATGTTTTGACTATAAAATGAGTTACATTAAATTGAAATTTGATCATTCAGTCTCAAGTATATGCGGATTAACTTTAGTTCTATACAGTCTGGAATTCTTTCGTTGACACATTTACGAGATGGGATTAACAATCACGTAATTGCACAAAAAAGGGTAATAAATTACAGTAAGTTACAACTTTTATTTACCTCTCTCACAAAGGCGATATTCTGAAAATTAATCAATTGTCATCACATATCAAACCATTGTGTGGTCAGTATATTTCTGCAAATTTTGATACCAAATTTGACAATATTTGGTCATGGAAATATACAGAATTTCCAAGTTACCAAATGCACACCTTTTTAAGCAACTGAGTATACATCTAAAACAGCACACCTTTCTACCAATGTGTGATGTGGAAATAAAATTATTTTTATACATTTCAAGTTATTTCCTGGGAAAAGCATTATTATGTATCATAAGGGGGGATAAATCAAACACTAAGTTATGAAAAGTTATTGTCAGTTTAGAAGTTGTACTCCGGACAAGCATTATTAAAAATACATAAAGGGAGATTATCATCACGCATATGTTATTGAACAGCCAATGGTGTGTATCGAGTGAACAGCTGGGTCAATATTTTGAAATATACAGTAAATTCAGCTTCATTTAACAAGAAACATTGAGCATAATGTCACTTTAAGTATTTTAAAGAGACATAATTCAAACACTTATGATTATTTGACAGTGTACTTTCACTTTCCTGTGTAGTTTCAATGAGATGAGATACCAGTGATGGTTTATAAGTTAAACACCGAACAAGCATTTAACTTAAGGTAGATAATTTTTTAAAAGCATTATAGAGTTATGATTCTTAGACACTGCACTTCCTCTGATTGGTTTCTATCACTGTGTGAAGTTTAAATGAAATTATTTAAATACTTTTCAAGTTATTCTCCGTGTGACGGTATGACGGACAAGACTGTGACTATATCCTCTCACCTTCCAAGAGCATTACTACAATTCTGTAAATCGAGATGAGTTTAAATTAAAGTAATTAATTTAGCTATTTACCGATTCAATAAGCCATCCTTCCGGTAGTGAAGAATCCGTTGCCCTTTCAAAGCTGATGTTTTTAAATTCCCCTTCATGCTCTTCGTTCACTAAATCGTCAACAGCTATAAATGTGAAGAAGATGCTAAAAAAATTTGCATTATTTTAAGAAAGAAGCTTAAACTCTTTATATTATTATATTTACTTAGTACAAATTGTACAATCCCATAACTCATTGATATTGTATGTAACAGCAGGTGTCAAGTGCTGTGTGGCAGCTGTAAAAAGTTGCCCCGTACTTCACTTCAGTGTTGTTATATTTTTCTGGTCCTTCGGGATCATTGATGTCAGCACTATTAAGTGTTGAGAATTGAGTACTGCTCAAGCCGGTGCTAATGGGCGTGAGGGGTGTTGCACATATTCATTATCCCTCATGTACAGACTCGATCAAAGCGAGTCTGCAGTTCTCTTGTTATTTTGTTGTGATTAATGCATCCGAGGGATCACTTTGTATCCAGATTTTGATAGGAGATTGAATAATATTACTTTTGGGGTTAAGACAGATAGCTCCATGTCCAAATCAAATTCTTACGGCTATTATTGGATACAGGGTACAAAATAGCAAAATACATAAACCCGGTTTCTGCTTATAATTAACAATAAGATTGGCTAAAGAAGTAATAATGGGCCACCGAGTATCATTATTTAATTGGAGTAGTGTAGTTTAAATTACATAGAATTTATAGGGAAATTACTACAATGTATTACTTTTTTGTTCTTTACTTAAATTTAGTGTCAAACTTTATTTGTCATTCAATGAAACGCTGTTTTTCTTAAAAATTATGTTAATTTTCATAGAAGTACAAAAGTCGATACTATATCGAATTCCGTCCATAGTCGCATTCTATTTTTCATAGTACCTCATAGAACCGCGTAGTGACGTAATTAAGTGAATAATAATGAGGCCAAATAAAGCTTGACAGTAAGTATGTTAGTATTCATCCGTAGCTGTTCTACAGAAATTAGAAACATTCTCCTATTGCTATCGCTCCCGTCGAATTTTCTTATTTCTGTAGAACAGCAAGGGTGAACACTAACATATACTTAATGGGTTGTTTTTGGTGTTTTTTTTCGTTCATGTCAATCAGACATCGCCGATCGACAGGCATGATTTTGGCGTTTCGGGGTGTCAATCAATGTCGCGTGACGAAAGAGGGCGGAGACATGTAAAGAATGTGCAAAAATAATCTAAAACACTAAGCTTAAATACTTAAATTTACTTAAATTTGTCGCGCGGAGGAAATAGGACACCATACAGAATGGATTATTGTTTACATCAGTGCTCGACTTGTCAGTTAAAAATGACATTATTCTTTCTCATTTATGAATGAGTTGAAATACTTAGGATGACGTTATTAAGCTGCTTACGAATTGGCGTAATATTTTCATAATTTATAAATTTTATGAACTTATATGGAATAAACCTGTGGCGTTAGTGTATGTAAGATATTATTTTAGCATTGTATGAAAAGAAAACATTGTAACAACGGAAAATATCAGTAAAACTGTGTTATTTTTGTTGTTTTAAAAGATTTGTAAACTATCGAGGGAGAAAAATTAACAGACGCATATACATGTAGTTACTAACCAGTGTTTATGTATTAGCTATAGAATACATACGAGGACTTTACCCATTAGGCGACAGCAAGGGACAATCATAGGAAATTAATCGAGGCGGAACGTCGAGATTAATTTCCATGATTGACACTTGTTGTAGCCCCTTGCGCTGATACCGAGTGTTTATTCTCGCATGGTTTGGAACTTTTTCTTTGTTCTTAGTTAGCCCATTACTCAGTTCACTTTCAATGAGCATTTGAAAACTGTATTGATATATAGCAGTCCAGTTTTTTCATTGATTCATATAGGAAAAAAACTCGACTGCTATATAACGGTTGAGTTTTTTTCGCACCTTGTATATATCAATGTAGTTCTTTTTCACTGAAAAATGGGGCAGCGGTAACGAACATTCCCAGTAGCAAAAAAAAAATTAAAAAATAAAAAATTTAAAAAACAATATATAATAATAATAGAGGTGAAAATGTGAAAGGGCACAAGAGAGAGAAATGCACGTTTTTTTTTTTGTTTTTGTTTTTTTTATGTTTTTTTTGTTTTTTTTTTTTTTTGTAAAAAAAAAAAATTCGATAAAACAGTTATAGTATATGAAACTAGTATATGAAACTCGTTAATAACGGAGGTATAACACTGGCTGGGGCGACATCTCGGGATGTTTCTGCAAAAAAGCTGCATCGGCCTAACGGCCTCGACATTTTTTTAGCAGAAACACCCCTTGATGTCACCCCAGCCAGTGTTATATCCTCGTAACTAACTCGTTTCATGTACTTTAACTATTACATCGCATGATCATCACGACTTTTTTCTTGGAAATTTACGCTCTCTTATAATATTCGCTTTATTTAAAAATATAAATATTTTTAGAAATACACATAGAAATACGCCCATTAGGTGCCTCTGCTCCTTCGCTGAAAACGTAATTATAGTGAACCCCTGCGAAAAATTAACAAATCACGTTCGTTAGCGCTTAGCCATTGCAGTTTTCCTTATTCAGTGCCAAATTATTGTCTTTTGCTTTGCAGAACAAAATAATATGGACATTTTGGATACTACGTTAAATAGTAAAAATGTTACACAGGATGATTTGTTCCTTTCGCAGACATTAATTGAAAATTGAGCGTGGTGGTGTTTTTAATGACATAGGTCTACTGACAAGAAGTTGTAAATGATGTACAATCGGACTATTTGGCAACTTCCAATTGTTTGACTTTGACATGGATTTATGGAGAAAGAAAAACCTTTAATTGATAAAAAGAGTGAACGTTTTGGAGAAATCTTGTCCGACTTGGATCTTGACGCGCAGGTACAAGGTCAAAGATCAAAGAACACGGACCGTTACACAAAATGGGCTTACAATACATTCGAGGCACGCCTGCCTAGAATAGCTGTGTTGAAGGAACTGGACATAAATAATCATTTTACGAGGTAATGCGAAATATTAATCACCTTTCCAGCTCTATTTCAAAATATTATCCTACGTTTTGTGGTCTTTGAGAACAATGTTTGAATAGTGCGAAAATTACACATGCAGCGATAATAATTCACACGAAGCGGTATAATTTGGTACCAAAATAAATGAAAATAAGCTTTCTTTCTGCACTTAAGACACCAAATAAATCATTTTATTGACATCTGTTCTGTAGAAGTCCATATAAAATTTTGTTCGAAGGTCTGTAGCCTACAAATGTTCTTTGCAAGTGTTTAGTAAGTAAAACGAACAATTTCTGGATAGTAAGTCGCACGAAAACAAAATAGTAAGTTTCACGCACAGTTTCCAATAGCTTACTTAAATGTGACGAAACTATTTTATTATTCTTTTGGTTACCAATTTGCAAGTGTGTTCCGTCTACGGTGACAGAGAAACAAATGTCGAAAAAGTATTTTAACAATAATTCATATTATTTCATAATGCATGTATTCATATAATTTCATAAAAGATTACTTAACTTGAAAATAAATAAATGAGACATTGATACTCAACAATATACGTTCCGCATGGCCCGTTAGACGGAACCCACATTCCGTCATCTGTAGAACTAGATATATAGAAAAAAATGTGCGGAAGGAAATATTACAACACTCATTTACTTTTCAGTATCTGCAATTTGTTACAGTTTCCGAAAACATACTCAAACTATCTTTTGCATCTTTAGTTTAGTGAATCAGTATTTTGTATGGAAGTCAAAATACTACTTTGTTTACGTTTCGCTACCTTTACGACACATCACTTAATGTTCAGCGCTTCCTTTTTCAGTTGTAACAAGTAAAGTTTTTGATGCTAAAGCATCAAGTCGCCTGATAAAAATATGATTTTTTCATAAATAAAAGAAAATATCAGTTTAATGGTTCGTGTATAAAGAAAAAAGGAACAATAAGTTGAGTAATGTTTATTCATAAACATGTTTTCATGTACTTGCCACATTTCTTGCTATAAACTTTGTAAAAGAGTTTTATGCAATAAATTTATGTTATGTTATAATAAAACATCATATTTGAAGCAAACTTGCTTAGCAATTTTGTCAAGAAACTGGTATCATTATCAAATAAGCAAGTATTGTTTGGCAATATTTACCCGAGACTCATTAATTTTCGGGGGGTGTTTCGTTAGTTTTCATAACTTACATATATTATGATTAATGTTAACGATTTTTTTTGTAAGTATAATTACATGTATATATCAATTAATACTGCTAGATGGCCCAGTGGTAAGTATGAAGAAGTTGTAACCTAGTAGGCGCAAGTTCGAATCTTTCGTATTTTTCAATGTAAGCTAAAGGAAGATCGCTGATATTGTATATAGAAATTATACAAAAAATGGGTTATAAAACTATAAAGCATCGTAATGATTCATTTAGAAAATAAATAATATTATTTTTTTATAATATACGTCCACAAACTGCAAATTTAGTACATTTTCAATTTTAACTCTATATTTCATATATTTCGTATTTTTCTATGCAAGCGAACTGGTATATAGAAATTAGGCCAATAAATGGTGATTAAATCATGATTATGGTTATTTATTATAATTTATATAATTAGTTGCTAATAATATAAGTCTACAAACAGCAATTTTACTGTAAAATTCTATTAAAACGCTATAATTCAATTTTAAAAGTCACTTTCGCTCACTTTCGTCAAAAAACTCACTTTCGTATTTTAGGCAAACCCTTGGACAAATTCTGTTTAATTGATTTTTATTATATCTTTTCACTATCTGAAACAGTTGATAAATCGTGTGTTTCATTTCTAGCACTTATTTAACACCTTGTCAACGAGCCTTGTAAAGTTATTCTACTTGTAATTCTACTTTATACATATACCGTTGTACTATACATTAAAATCCGTATGTTTTACTTCAGAATACGATAATTACCGACAAATAATTACCGATCATCGAATATTTGCAAAGTGACTATGAAAATATATAATTATGCTTAAGTATTGCATAAAACAATGCAATTCTACTGTAAAAGTGGTGTCTGCATAAAAA